CCAATACTGCAACATTCCTGTAGTTTTCTGTGACCCATAGATAGTCGCTTAGCTTATCAAGAACCATACTTTTCAACCTGAATACGATGGGTGTCCATGAAGTATATCAGGCAGCTTCCTTCTTTCTTGTTACTGCGGTCATATTGCAATTGCGTGTACTTATCTCTTCACCTGGTTTATTTGCGCGAAACCAAGACTCGGTGATAGTTATTACAGGCAGCTTAAATATGAGTGCGATTCCTCTTAATACCAATAGTTTGCCGTGGACGGACACTGTGTTTATGAGAACGATGCAAAAGTAAGAGGAGCAACAATGCGTAAAACCTTATTCGTTAAACAGGTATCCCCGAGTTGCTTGACTGAGTTTGGTCTGACGTCACTGCGTTACAAAACGTCCCTACACCTTGCTCACTTGTGGAGTAACTAGGATATCCTGTAGTAAATCGACCGCATGGTGACCTGGAATATCAACACCTTTATTAGAGGAGAGCGGAGTGTGCACACCGTATACACATATACAGAGTTTGACCTAATGTGAGCATAATCCTTAGCATGTGTTTCACAGAGGGTAGGTAGTTTTACCATCGCACGTGGTAGGTGTGTAGGGCTGACGACACCGCTTACAGGATTCAGTAAACCTGTTATTGACCTGTTGACGCCACCTGGGTAGTTGGCGTCTGGGATGTGTGTAAATGACCGGCCGTCCTTTCTGTCGCTCCGAGGGCGCCAAGACTAGCGGCTCAGAGTAGGGAGCTTCAGCACCATCACTTGTCTGACCAAAGCTGGGGTGATAGGGATATTATGGATGGAAAATCGTCGTGTTTTTGCAGTCCATATAAACCTCTGTTCTGCGTTGCATTCCCCATCCATGAATTTCCTTTGCTACAAGTCACGCCGGATATAAATGGAGTTATGTTGGGTCGGGAGCTATTTCCAGGTAAGCCGGTGTCATGCAGGCGACCGAAATTTTTTCTCACAACTTACCTTGCCGACGTTCGATTATAGGTGGTTTAATGTTGGCTCCTATCACTGACGTCTGTTCCTGTTCCCGTTACTGATGAGACGTAGCTCGGCACATTGAACCCTATTGGTGGAGCCCTTGTTCGCGCTTTTGTCAAGTTCAGAAGGGATTCCTGGACCATTTCGGACCACTGTGTGCTTTCTGCGTCCACCTCTAAGTGCTGGGTTCCATGGGAGCATTGGTTTATTGGTTGCATGTCGGGCGCCGGTATCCTGGGTCCCAGGCTGGTGTGCGTTGCAGATTTTAGGCCTCCAGCGGATCTCAGTGAGAGTTCTATGACGTTTGGCGCAGTGTCAGGTTTTATTTTGGGGCTTTTTGTGGACGCGTGTAATTCATACATTTCTCAGCCTCCCATCTACACGCTGGTCGATGAATTTTTCCGAATATTTGACTTGACAGGGTTTGTAGGAAATGAAGCGCTGGTTTTTGGTATTTTGGGAGGGATATCTACTGCTCTTGTATATCGTAGTTTTGAAGCCCTCTGACCATCTGGTCTATGAGCAAGATCGCATACTTGCCTTTCCACCACTGTAAAGACAGCGTTGCTCGATAAGAAAGATTCTGTTTTGATACATGTTTCCGCCTCCCTCTGTAATTTAAACTGGAAGCGCATAGGACAGAAATGGCCCTTCTGGCTCTTTTTCAGTCGAAAACATTTTGCATAGACATCATGCATTTTTGCTGTTCTTAGAAAAAATTTCTCGCACCACATTCAAGGCTGTGCGTTAGAGACGTTATAAACTATTGCGTTTAAATTTAAGTCCAAGTCTCCCACTCACTCCAGTGGTGATAAGGTGTACTAGGTGACCTGCCCTGACTATTGTTTCGGTGCCAATTCTATCAGTGGGTTTATTACGCGTCAAGATGCTCAGCGGCAATTGGTTGCCAACCTGAGCCCTGATTGCTTCCACCCGGGTAACATTTCGGGCGCCCTTACCATATTTTCGTGTGGTGAGTTATTCCGTCCGCGTACCTCTACAGTTAGCTCCTATATAGAGGACTTCAGACTTTCTATTTCCGAAAGGGGTGATAATGTTCCAAATGGTGATTGAAGTCTAGTTAATCTTGTAAAAAAATTGTACTTCCATTAAGCTTTACATCTCCTGTGACGTACGGTGCCATGGTCCAGTTAAATGAGGCCCGTGTGGCGTCACGCACTACCCTAGAATCAATGACCTGAGGTTCGGCGAGATCCAACATTGATGCTGACCTCCACAGTCTTACTGGACTTGCTAGGCTGAAGGAACCAGGCCAAGCATCCACGCCATCTAGCACGCTGTCGTGTTACGTTGCACTGCCCGTGGTCGACCATTTAGCCGGTTAGTTGGGGCTCCTCGGTATCTTGGCACGACCTCGCAAATGTACCGTTCCATCCAACTACGCTGTTTTGTTCTTCCCTGGTTTAGTGTTTGTATTACAAGTACGAATAATTAGTGACTGGCTCGATAGAGAGCGAGTCTTAAACTGGTGAGCCCGTTCCGTTTTATACTTGTATATTGTCTTCATTTTGATAGACTTTATGTATCCATCTGCAACTCCTTTAAATGTACGGCCATACTTCGAGGCTTTTCCATATTGAGCCGACGACGAACGCTATCCAGATCCTGTTATACTGGCCAGGGAATACAGAAACGTGGTTTCTGTATGCCGAGGCACGTTAAAAAGAACATGAAGTCACAGATCCACATTCACAATTTAATGGGGGCACACGTTCACTATCGAGGGAACCAAACGAGCACGTCACGGCGCATGTGTATTGAAGTAAGTGATCCCCGTGCACTTCTCAAGGCTGTACTACTAGAGAAGACTGATCTCACAGGTTGCCAGCCCCTTAAACGAATCGCTCCGTAACATTGAGCTAGGCAGCAACTTGGCCACTGGAGTCCTCGCACGCACGCGAGAAGTTATGTACAAACGAACGCTCCATAATGGCCCTTCCGAGAGCTGTTTCTCTCAAAGCCATCGCAGCCGGTGCAAATCTTGTCAGTGACACATCAGTCAGTTCCTCTCGAAGACCTGGCAGCCTCAGCAGATAAAATACTGGAGATCTCTAGCAGACCCGTCTCCAACGTGTATTCGGTCTGCAAAATACCTGAGAACCAGGACCCAGAAATAAACCAGCCGTGAGACCCTGCGAAACAGCTGCTACGAGCTCTAAGCCCCGGGCTACGTAGCACACCACAGAAACGCATCTCAGCCCATCGCAGCAACTTGCGTGGCCGTCCAAAAAACAAAATTGACGGGGCGAAAAATCCTAAACGGTGCTGGTTTCCCAGAAAATGACGGAAACCATGCAGTTTCAAAGCAGATGCAAAATTGGGAAACTGTCCCGCTGGCACGAGTTTACGCCAACCTTGGCCGGCGGAAAAAGCCGTTTGCTTTGCATTACTGAGTAAAACGAATGTTCGCCAACTTGTTGACACCGGTGCAGAAGCTAGCGTTCTTCCCGCACTGACGAAGGAACGTCATTATGTCCAATCCTTCAATGTTTAAGCGGCTAACGGCAACGTGACGGCAACCCTTGAGAGACGGCATGCCTACCTCAACTTAAGTTCACTCAAAGCCGCTCACTGGATTTTCCTCCTGGCTGACGTTTCTGTGCCTACCCTTGGCGAAGATTTGCTGAGGCATTACGACCTACTCGTTGGTGCTCGTCATCGACGACCGATAGATAGCAATGCAAAGCTACCTATTGGCGGCGCCACTCGCGTAGGTCCGAGTCCAGCCGTAGTTAGGACTAAACACTCGGGCGATACATCCCATCAGCCAGTTAGAGAAATATACAGAGTTACAACAACCGAAGCATACCCTGCTATACATAACCAGCAATGTTATACATCACGCCGCAACTGCAGGTCCACCTGTGGCATCCAAAGCACGTCGTCTGGCCTCTCGTGAGCTCAACACTACAGAAAGGGAATTCGCCCACATAATCAAACTGGGCACTATGATACCTTCAAGTAGTCTTTGGGCATCTCTATTGGATATAGTTTACAAGGAAGGCAGCCCCGATATCGAGATTCTTGACGATGTTTGGTAATGCACAGATACAACAGCTACCGGCTGAACAAAAAACAATGTCCGGTCGGACCATCAGGTTCTCGGGGTATCCAGAGGCATTTAACTGAATAGTGCGAGTTGAAATGTCCCAACCATTTTTAAATTCAAATCTCTTCTAAATATGCACCATTTTTTGGAGTTTATTTATTGGTATCGGGAAACTTCCCCCACATTTTATTTTCTTGTGACAATCTGTTTATTGTCACATAACCGTACTTTTTCAAAAAACAAGATGGAACTAGGCATAAGATCTATTTTCAGTGCTGGTGAGGTAGCAATCAAGGGGGAGTTGGGGATTCCTAGGAGGCACGTACGCTTCAGACAGACACAAGCAGCTTTCTTACGTGGTAATGTAAGCGGCTGATGCCTGCCAACACCTGCAAGGGTACATAGCACACAGGGCGTGCAGACTGCAGCACCCACTAAACTGGTGGTGTAGCGCCAAACGGTTCCCTAAGATCAACAGCCTAAGGTTCAATGAGATTTAACACTGATGTTCACTTTCATGGTTTTGGCGAACGTGCTGAGGTGGAACCTCACAGTCAAGCATCCACGTCATGTGGCACATCAGCATGTTACGTTGCGTTGCTCGTACCCAATCTTCTAGCAGGTTAGCTAGAACACATAAGTATTTTGGTAGGGTCTCTCCCATCTTTTCTTTTCTAGTAGGTCACAAAAACTCGGAGTAAATAGCAAGAAAAAGGAGCGAAAGGGAGAACAAGTTTTGCTTAGAGTGCTGGTCTTCTCATTTATTGGTCAACTCCTGGAAAGAATCGGTGTCCATGTCACCAGTTGACTCGTTCGAATGCAGACCGAAGAAAAACAAAGGTCTACTGTAAGAGTATTAAAATAGGATAACAGCCTTCGATGCTGGAACTTTTAATCCGAATTCTTGTCATCATTGGGAAGTTCACTAAATATTGCGCGTTTGATGAAGGGTACGTCACTTGACACGTTTGCAAATGGCAACGCAAAAGGTCTTTGATCTCCAGTCTGCTTATTCAGATTTGAACAAAGCATGCAGCGCTCAGGCCTACGACAAAGTCATTAACGTCTCCGGGAAAAGTAAGTTTTATTACGTGGTCGCATTAAACTGTCTTGTGACCACATTTGAATATACACTAACTAACATATGTTTATTCTTAGATTGAATGGTATCTGATACTAGTTATTTATAAGATCACCGTTTTGCCGTGGAGCTGACGTACTTTACTTTGCTGTTACTGGTTTTCTCACAGTCACGGTGTGCATCCTTGGCATTTATTCAGTCAACTGCCCGCCCAACGTTTTTGCTATCAGACATTAGAGCATGGGAAGAAATACGACAAAAGTTTTAGGAATAGCCAAGATCCAACGAGGGTTTCTTGACATAGTCCCTTACCTGGCTTTGCGTTCTCGTTCCACTTGTTTCGTCTGTCGTTCTTCCCACTTTACTCGGCTTCTGACTGCACGCTCCTTATTTTCCATACTGTCTTGCTTTTTTGATATTGATCACATATTTTTCAGCTTTTTGGCTGACATTTCGTTGCGGTCACCTTCACGGCATGTTATGTTGGGTTGCAATATAAGGACAGAGGTTAACTCCTCTCGTCAAAAGATGTTTATTCCGTCAGAATAATGTAAAAGAATATTTATGATAATCGCCTTTCGGTAGATTGCCTTTATCTAAGTCGCCCATAGCTAATCCTCATTAGCAGCCGGTGAGATGCTTGTAGTCGAAGGTGCTTCATTCGCATCTCGACGTCAACTAACCTATCGTCTTCCCATAACTGAGTGCTTGGTTCAAGACATTTAATATTTATGACATGCATAGCTTAATCCTTCATTGAAGTAACTGTCTCGAAACACAACAATTGGTTTATTTTGAAACGTCTGACAGACAAGACAGTAGGTTTTGACTGAAGTCTGAATGCTCAACTGGATCCCAGTTGACATTAGCTTAAGGGCTGTTCAGCTGACTAGTACAGTGAGGATTTCAAAGAGCAGTTAAACTTTCTGTTGTCCATTTGTAATCTGCTTACGCACTCATTGACCAGCTCTACCGAAAACGGTGTCGCATTTTATTCAGCGAGCGGTCAGAGGTGGTTGTCGTAGTAGGTCATTTCAATGCAAAAGAGAGTAGGCTGAGGCGGAAATTCACTTAGATAACACTTTCGGAACCCCAGTCGGACGAACATACAATGGTAATCATCTGATACAACCGCTCAGACAAGCACTTATTTCTGGCTAGCCCGAACTTCAGATGTGAAGAGAGTTGTCTGGTGTAGTGTCCAACTTGATTTCACCATTGGACATAGATCATATCACTATCGTGTACGTCTAGAGAGATAGTGTAGAACGGCTCTTTCTTCTAAGGCACATGTTTGCATAGTCGTCATGCATCGCTTTGGAAATGCGTATATTTGCGCCTAAGTGGACATGGGGAAACTACAGCGACAAGATCATTCCAAGTGCAGCCCAGCAATGCGAATATTAAGGCTACTTTCAATGAGAAACCAGCCAGGCACATATCGGAACAGGACATTGTCACTCACCCGGAAGAACCTGGTGACATCTCCAATCTGCTGTAAAAACAGCTAACTGACTCAGAAAGGTGTTAGGAAAAGTCAGTGGATCTCAGCAGCTTTTTCAGGAACAGTCGAGTTTTGAGAACGCATCCACCAGGTTTCTAGCACATTGAGGAGCGGAAGCAATTGAAATATAAACTGACAAAAGGCGTACGCAATAACTATAAGCAATTTCAGGTAGCGAAGGCTAGCGTAGAATGACACTATAACATTAACTGCTTCTTGTCGTACCACTAACCAACTGACGTTCCTGTTACGATGAGACTTCAGGAGAATAGATGTTCACACCAGTGTAGCCCGTCGGGTCATTGTGATATGCAAGCCTAACCATCCTGTCAGGGTAGCAGCTGTCCATTGATTTTAAGGTTTCAGGCTACATATGTTTGATATTCCAGTGAACTACTTTGTGCAATTAACTACTTAGAAACTAGATATGGTACAGACAGACAGAAGTTTCAATGACTGACAGTCGCAGCTGAATGAAAGGAAGATACACAACGACATGTTTAAAGAGGATAACTATAAACTCGAGTTCATCTGTAAAAATAATAATCAGGATAAAACGACAATAAATTGGACGATTAAGCACAAATTTTGCAACATCCTGCCAACTCGTTTTTATGCCAACCAAAACACAAGTTTCAGGAAGGTCGCGTCATATGTCGGGTTAAATTAAAACCCACTCAGTAAACTTGTGCACATTCGTACAGTAGGTAGTCAACGGTACCTAATGTTTGATGGCTCATGACGCTACCTGGTTGCTCAGATCTCAGTAGCCAAAACTGTTTGAACCTTTGACCCATTGGTCGAAAGCCAAGTGCCTAGACCAGTGAGCTACAGCTCCACTGTTTCATAAGTAACACAACCTGAATTTGAAGATAGAAAGTGCACAGACTGAACTTCAGTGGAATCTCTCGTGTTGATTTTAATAGCCTGGTGAAAATTCAGAAGTACCGAAATAAATTTGTTCGGCAGCTTCTGCCTTCACTGCATGGACGAATTTAGGAAGCGATTAGTACATAAAGAAAGCTCTTTTTGTCCAAAAATTGATTTGAAATTGAGTTGCTTCTAAGTAGTATTTGCAAGATTTGTAAGAAAATAGGTCATTCTAAATCGGTAAAACATGAGTCCAAGTCTATTTGTCAGCTACATCCTTTGGAAATAAGTGTAACATAAAGCCTGGATTACAGATTTTACAGCATTTCCGAACTCTGCTTTTAGTAGACTTTTTAGAATGTAGCCGTGGAGAATTGACAATAGTGAGCAACCATTTTTACTGGTACAAATTGCGAACATAGTGAAAACTTTCTAATGACTTGTACGCCAGCAGTATATCAGAACTTAACTGATTGATCAGAGCTGAACCATTAACTTCGGAATACATTAGTTAGTGGTATGCCATACTGAGACGTTTGGTTGAATGAATGGTGTGTTTGCATCTGAACTTTCACGTGAAACCCAAACATAAAACTAATCGCGGCTCCGTTTCAAAACTTGAAGTTCGTGCTATGAACTAAACTATGCCTAATGTGTCAGGGACACGAAATCTGGAAGATGGAGCAGTTTAGTCCATGACTGAATTGTTGATAATTGAGTGTTTAAGCGAATTAGCCACAACTCAAATGTCGGAATCTTTAGTGAAATGGTGCTAAAGGTTCACCTTATCCTCTACAACTCTTCAATCGCTAAAGATTCACCTGCAGTGTTTGAAACATTTTTACTGATTCGCCATTCTTAATGTCTTGTAATGTGAGGTTTCGCAAATTAAATCGTTGAGAAGCATTGTGAATTCCCTTCTTGATATTTACTGACTTAAGTCATCAATTTAAACTTATAATGTTTAGCGTGTTTGGTTTCTTTTACTAGTGTGTTGAGAAAACTGTATTTTGTCAGAAGATTTAGCCAATAGATCTTTGCCCTCGTTGCAATCAAAACTTGTGCAGATCAAGAAGCTGAGTGCCGTAAGAGTTAGCTACTTGAGGGTAGTAATGAATTCCTGGTATAAATTTCGAATGGTCAGTAATCTGTTCTGTTCCTCTAGATAGCTGTAATACCCATCTCTGTAAAATATCGAGTATGAATTGCAAACGTTTTCTTACACGGTTAATGACAATTGAATTTAGTTGACATTAGTTTTCAGGAATATCACTAATGTTATTTGTAAACCACTGATCACTTGTGGTGGAACCATGTCGAGTTTTATTTAAGTAGGATTCGGATTTTTCGATGATGAACTGAAGACACATGTTACATTTTTGGATCTTTATAGCCTTTGACTCGCATTTCAACTTACCAGCTTCCCACTTAGGCAGTGCCATCAACAATAGATGTAGTTTTGAACGTATACTGATCAACGATGAGCTGAATGGTTTAGAAAAACTTGGGCATCGAGTTGGTATGATTCATCGCATAAGGTGTATTTTACTTGTGTAATTCCGGGGTAGGACAAAATAAACATATTTTCTATTGTTCTTCGAAGTTTCGGTCTTGTTACGAAAATTCTATTGAAGAGCATGAATCGGACATTAGGTTTTCAGGTTAATGTTCGAGTTTTGGTCCAGAAGGTGACCTTTATGATTATCCAGTTACATCGTGATGTGGAAAAAGATCAATATAGTGCGGGTGAGCGAATTATCAAATCGGTCAGAGGGGCTTTTTTCCAGTTGAGCAAGTAAAGTGAAGCAAAAATAGGTTGGGAACACATAGTTCTACTATAGAAATGTAGGTGTCATCAGGGGGAAAAAGTAGTTGCTATTTGTTTTCTTTCTTCTGCTCTAAATTTCTTGAAATGTATGTCCACCTGATTTCTGTGTTAACGAGAGCAGAAACTTTGAGCACAACACTGATATGCTGATTGTTTCTTGCTTCACACTATTTCTGACATTATGTTTTTAGCTTTTCACACTCATTGCTGCATTTTTGCTGTTTGCACCAGTCACAATTACTGGTTTGCATAACCTTGTAGGTCATTATCTTGGGGACATTTGGGAATTTATTGGCCAATTTCAGCGATTTCATGTTCAAAAACTAGAGATCGCGGTCTAGCTAAATGAGAATCCTTCAAAACATTCTTATTGTCCTCCTTTAGTTCCTACCATGATTTCGTATAATTTGAACGTCAAAAGGTAAGATTCTGTCTTTTCATATCCCTACCTAATACTAACTATTTTACCCACTTAATCTTCTGTTCTATTTTGTCATACCATAAGTATAGCCGAATTTACACCAGTGAATTTGCATTTGTGCTGGCTGGTATATTTGAATCTTGGATACTGATATTGGTCATGTGTAAACTACTGTATAGTTAATAGGTTTGATGTTAATTCTAGTCTTCTGTCAGTGGTTCTTCGTTTATGTGTATTTCCTTCATAGTTCTCACGAAGCACCCCACTGAAGTTAAAGCTTTCCAGTGCAAGGTTGTCGCTCTCATTCGTACTGAAAAGTATGAAGATTGTTTGAGTTTTTTGAAAAAGCACCCAGCACTAGTCAAGTACGTTTAACCTTGTAGCATCGTCTAATTTATTTCAGTCATGTCACTTTTGAAAAAGCCTATGTCGAGTATAGGCTTAACCGTCTTTCTGAGGCTGCAAAGACTCTTGAATCATCAGACACAAACGACCTAAAAGCTCAAGAGCTGAAAGCTCAAGTGGTATAGTTTCATTATAGTTGCAACTTATTTTAATTTCTTCAGTTGTATAGAAAAGGCGATTTTGTTGGTTCATATGCATTCTTACGGACAGTGATTCGAAACTCACAGGTTAGTTGTAATTTTCATTTTCATTCAAATTTTCTTAGGATGATTACAGTGAGGAACGGCTTACGAATTTAGCGGCAGTGGCTGCAGCTGAATCATGCTTTAATAAGTCTTATTTGGTGAGTAAAAATTCGCAACCATTTTTATTTTTCATAGGACCTAGATGTTAATCCAGAAATGTACGAAGGGAAGTTCAACTTGGCTTGTTATAATCTTGGTCGAGGCGATAACCAATTAGCATCTCAGTTGTTAGATGATGCAGAAAGTAAGTTTATTAACTATTTTTAATACTTTAATTTAGATACGTGCAAACTTTGTCTATCTGAGGATCCGGAAGTAACTGAAGAGGAGAAAAATGAGGAGTTAGCGCCTATCAGGTAAAACCTCTGTTTTGCATTGTTGCTGTTCATTTTTATTTATGTCTTCTGTGCCGTGAATTGGGTTGATTTTTGGTGACTATGGAGGAAATGATGACCGTTATAATTCCTAAAATTGTTGAGTTGACAGCTATTTAGTATTAAAAAGATACTTAAACACAATGCATGGGAAAGAACCAAACAGACTTCAGCATAAACTGGTCATGCTGCACCATATTCTAAGGCAAACAAATTCTTCGCGAGCCACACATTCGACATAGTTTTGCATCTAAACGAGTTTTTTCGATTATCGGCAGTAGTGAATTCATCTCATTTCCGGAAAATCTACAGTCAGACTTCCATGGAATTTTAGAAATTTTCATGAGGTGACTGCAGGCTTAATGTTTGTCAGGTATGGCAGTTTGTTGATACCATTATTAGTGCCACCCTAGTGATGACTTTCTGCATGTAATTCTTCGAGAATTGATATCCTGCTAGGTTAGCAATAGATTGGTAAAGATGTCTAGTGGGTTACAGTTCTGTCAGATGAAGGGTCATGAAGCGGAGTACAGTGAGTTACATAAACCAAAGTATTCGACTAAACGTCATACTTTGCAACTTATTTGCTTCCATTTGTGGTTTGATCGACCCAAGTATTTACTCTAGAGAATTCGACGAAGAATATATTTCATGGAATATGATTGCAAGCTGCTATCGACTAGAATGTCTGAGTCATGATGTAGTTATTTTTCGAATCAGCGGCGTCACTCTGAGTCGTAAAGTATTTCTCAACGTTGTCAGGCTGGGATAAGAAACTGACACATGAAGTCAATTACTGTTGATGTGGAAAGTGAGGAATTCTTGAAAATTGCTAGTTAAAACCTTTTTCAAGATGAGGTAAACGGTTACCCTGAATGGTAGTTCAAAGGCTACCCTGACGACTTGTATATATTGACATATTTCTAGACCAAACGTACTGAATGTCATATTCTTATTTTCTTTTATCCACTTTCTTTTATTCTCTTGCTCCATTTCTACTTCTTTTTAACTACTGTTTCGTGTAAAGATTTATAATAAATCAAAAGACAGGACAGGTCATATTCCCTAATTCAGTCAAATAACACTTGATATCATCGTTATATTGACAGTTTTTGTTTTGGTCTAGAAATGGTCTAATAATCAAGTCCTGTATTTGTGCTATCTAAAAATATGTTGATTCGAAGTAGTCTACTGTTTTTGCTAAATTGTATGGTAGTGCATTGAGTATCTGTGTACAAAGTAGGCTTCAAGAACTATTTTTTGAGGGAAGATTCTATTATTTCATACTGAAAATGCCTTTATGGTATTTTCCTGAATATTAGGACAATCTTTGCTCAAGATTTGTTCACTTATTTCCGAATAATTTGGAGAGAAATTCTCAACCACGAGTTATCGATTGTTGAGTTTAACTAAGTTTTGGACTTCGATGCTTGTTGAAAAAAATGTTTGTCCAGGACGTTCGGATGAAGGACAGTGAATTAGATGAGCTACTAAATAGTAGCATGTCCATTCATCGATTACAGTGATATGACTGACAGAAAAACTAACGAAATCAACGGAAAACCTCGCACACCAGTACATCGGCTCAAGTTGTCACACTCCACAATGGTATAGGAAGAACAGGTGGGTCGAAAAAGTGATATCAAGAAAGACAAAGTAGTATGAGAGGATAAACAATCGGATAGTAAAGGTTAGTTTGAATATTCAGGCCTTAAAAGACATCAAAAACTGAATACATCTGGGCCATTGTGACCGATTTTCAGCCATATCACTGAAAGCCCTCAACCACTGGTTTCTTTCGTCTGAGGGAGCCCAACCAGGTAGTCTACATTTCTCCTTATGGCTCGGGCCTACAGACAGAGACTTCATCGATTGATGCCAGATCTTGGTCTGGTCACTCTGAACTCTCCTCCAACCTAATCCAACTTCCTCTAACGTCGTGAAAGGTTGAGATAGGTGGTGGCTTGGCATCTCTGGTACATGTCCAAACCATTTCAGTCGACTAAGCTTCACAACCTCATCAATCGACTTGCGTGTGACATGTGACAATAGCTAGCTGAACCCGATGTTTTGGGCTGAAACTTCCTGGGACTAAACTGGGCATACTGTCTACTTCTTAAAAAGATAATATTCTTATATTTCATTTGTGACGATCGAATATAGAAATGTCACTTCAGTCTGTTGTTGTGTTATGAGTAATAAGACATCACTGCAAATTGGCAATGACTTGTCATGATGTCATGCTTACTAAGAGCAAGGATGACGTATAATTATTCGCCTAAAACTTGGTAGCTAGATATGGAATTCCCAAAATTTATCCTGCGTATTTTCATAGGCCATCCGGCATTGCTTTCATTATTTATTTGATCGTTCCATGGAAATGTTTTCTTAGTACCGCTATTTGAAGCAACTTTGATCATTCAGAATCTTTCGTTTAATATTTTTAACATGTAATCCCAAGTGTACTTATCAGAAAAGTGCTTTTCACCGTTCTCAATTTAAGTTTGTCTTATATTTTGATTTTAGAGTTCAACGAGCATATATTTTGCAGCTTAGTAAAAAGGAAGAGGAAGCTAATCAACTTTACCAATCAGTGATCCGCCAGAGGTAAGGTTTTCCCATCTAACTACTTAAATTTCTATATATATAAACCATATTGTTGCTGTGGTCACAACAGAGAAGCAATAAGAAAAGTTTTGTGCTATGAACTATCAGCTGACGTTGGACAATCTTTTTCAAACGATGTTTACAGGACTTTGCAACGCTTTGTTGTGAAGGTTTATACAAACATTATATAGGGCATGTTCTGCTCATGTAGTCCCAGCGTGGTATATCAGAACAAATAATCAAATATTTTGTGTAATTGCGATGCAACATATGTGGGGCAGACAGCCAAACCGGTAAATGTAAAACAGATTCCAGAATTCTCACTAGAGGTTCAGAAGCTGGAAAACAAATTGGAGCTTGCGTTACACTTGATAGAAATGGGTCACAAAATTAACTTTGAGGAAACCAATATTCTACGAGAATGCTATATTGATTTTGGTGACTAGCAGAGGAATCCAGGATGCGTGTTGCGTCCTATTTTGCGCTCATCAATGAGTGATGTTCCCACTGAGGCTAGAACCCATTACACTTCGCTTAAAACGCCAGAGAGTTATCCACTAAGCCACTGGGGTGCGACAGCCACCTCTTGTGCAACGGGTGTCAGTTGTCTTGATGCTTGTAGTTGCCTGTTGCTCTACAGAACTAAATTGCTCTATCTCTGTTGGCAGATGGGCTCCTATGCGGATGCCTCGATACTGCCGGACATTCATAATGTTATATTGATCTTGGTGATTAGCAAAAATGTTTTAGGTCGTTTCAGGACGGATTGACAGCGGAGGCTCTGCATATATGGACAAACCTAAATAGCTTGAACGGTTAAGATGGAATACAATTAGCTGCCTCTTGAGGATTTCTAATTGCCAAACAGTAAGAGCGACTTCAACATTTTTCTCATCTTTTTTATCTCTACATCAATAGCAACACAATCTGGATTGATTTAAGTCACTGTTATTGTCATTACCATTGCCACTATCATTCATTTCTACTTTATTTCGACCAATTGAGAAAAAATTTGTCAGTAGTGATTCATGCTTACTTACCAACCGAATTGACACACATCCACCATACATATAAAATTATTGAATGACTACAATATCACCTGTAGCACTTATTATCTCGCATTTACGATGTTGGAGAATATGAATAACAACATACAGACATCGTACAGCAGGGGAAATACCATTTCACACTAAATGGTTGGTAATCGTATTTTATAAAAACAATGACCATATTAGTATGATTCAAAATGAGACTAAACACATTTTTAAACTCACATATGTTTGATATTTTAATTTTCATTATTTCCCTGAAATAGCGTGGATCGGACTTGCGTGCAAAACTTTGGAACTATTTTATTCCAAACACTCGGTGACTTATACAACTATCTAATGTCAAACTCTGACTCGGCTCCAGATATTTACTGTTCTTTATGTCAAAAAATTGTGTTATTTCACAACATTTCAATCCTCCAGTATAGACCTTTTCCAAGGGTATAAATGTGATATAGCCTTCAAGTAAATATTCAAGTTTGTTACGAAAGGTGATTTTTGTGACCATTCAGTCAGATCGTAGGAAAGACAAGCGTCCCCATTTCACAGTTGAACTACGTTTCTCACCCCATTTTTGTACTACTTACTTGCAGACTTGAATAAGCTTCTTCGAACGATTTGTTGAATTACTCACCTAAATTATATTGATTTTGTTTTAATAAACATCCAGTTCATAGTTTCTACAGCTGTCCGCGAAGAATTATTCTGCTGAAGAATCTGCGGCATACACAGTGAAACGTTCAGAAAAATCTTGTTTTGATTTCCTAAACATGCTAGGAGTATATTAAAATCTACTTGTGTATTGGTCTTTATTCTATATGATGATCTGATTGAATATTTACTTGAAGGCTTAATATCACATTCATACTATTAAAAATGGTCTTCACTGAGAATTTAAAACCTGGAGGAATGGTACCAAATATTTTTTGTGTTTTTGAAGTTTTGTAATAAGCCAGGACTAAACAAGAACAATTGACATTATTCAAGCAGTGGCACTCACTCGATGCCGAAGTTTTTCGGTTGAGATGGGTTCATAGTCATATACACATTGTAACGTTTGTGCGAATTGATGATTTTGGTTGAAATTTTTCATCAGAGGAATATGCATTTCAGTGGTTTTTCGGTTTCTGCCCTCTGGTTGGGACACTTCAGATTTGGATAAAATATTATTTATTAATCTGAACATTTTAAACTATGGTTTCCGTGGCACTTTTATGCCATGACCACTTGATCATCTGCCCCTCATTTTTAAGTTGTTTCGCTGATTGGTTGGAACTTACCTCTAATGTTAATGTTTCAATCTCTGATGAAGGTCATCTGTCATGTATGTACACAGACGTGTTCGGGTTATTTAAGGAATCTTCTTGGACGCAATTAACTTGCCCATCCAGACCAGTCTTATTCGCCCTATTTTCGTCTGGGTTGGAGTCTTTGGTACCTGGTGTACGAGTTAGTTGTTAATTAAGTATGTGTATTATGTCCATTCAGGAACGTAACACCTAGAATTTCGCAAAATATGCTACGAAAGATCTGGAGATTGATAGTTTAACTGTTTCCATTACCGGATTTTTCTTCCACTTTCATTCCTTTTCTGTGCTCATGAAAATCAGTCTGCGAAGCATCAATATCTTGAAAATAAGACTAGTATTTTGAATTGCTTTTTACAATTTGTTGATTCAGTGGTTTGCTGTGACATACTGGTCTAGATACTGAATTTGTAATCAGACAGTCTTAAGCTCGAATCTTCCACCATTAAGTGGAGTTCTGGTAGCAGGCTAATATCATTAGCGCTTTATACGATAAGTGTAGTTCATTGCGTAGTAGACGAACATGTAAGTGGTTGGTGAACTACATTTTCATATTCCTTTTATTGTTTCCTTATTTTGTACCTAAAAACATTCAAATTTTCGAGTAACCTAATTCATAAAAATGTTCTGCAGCTATAGAAACAGTTGTTCTTCATGGATGAAATCGAGATTTTTGTTATTAAAAGGAATATGCTATGTTTTAAAGACATAGAGCACATATCTTGGAGCATGAAATTATTTTGAGTATTTTGAGTCTGTTTTCGATTCATCTCGAAGGAACCATTTCGGTTGATTTGAAATGAACAATACTGAAAAAGTAACTTATGCACTTGTTTCATCATTCCGTTTTTGTAATTTCAGGATATTGAGTCAATAAAGAAGTTTTTATTTGTCGTCGAAAAGGCAGCTTTAAACGTCATCAGATGCTGGTTTTCTTAGCTACCGTCACTGGTCGATGACATGTCATATTAGCGTGTGCAAATCAGACGTAGTCCCGTCAGGCTGGTCTACTTCACTGATTATTCCAGTTCATTAAAAGATTTTCTTGTGACAACCGCAGGGAAACAGACAAGATCAACATAAAACTTGACATTACTGCAAAGCTGCCTGAGTTGCCACATATCATAGCAGCTCACAGAGCGAGTATGCCCTAAGATGAAATGTAACGAAATAAAGAACGCAGTCAAAAACTATAGAAAGTCATCAGAAGACTAACAGAATTTTGAAATTCAATTCAGCGATTGAGACTAAGACAGTGTGAGGGGTTACATCTGCACCACTGAAATCGATTTTGAATCATATCACCTAGATTCTTTAACCGCATAAAGTTTACATTCCCCTACATGACCCAAACCACCAGCCCGAGACTTCGTGCACTGATGCCATGTTTTAGTCTTGTCACCTTTAACCTACCGCTAGCCTAAACCTACCTTAGCTAATATTGCGTAACGCGGTAGATGATGACTGGGGATGCGTAACACATGTCCCAACCACCGGAGTCGATAAAGGTACACAACCTCACCCACTAACTTTCCTCATCCGTCTAAAGCTCTACACCTGACTTCAAGGTTACGACATAGCCTATGCTATAAAGGTAATTCTAGTCAAATACGTCAAGCCCTTCACATCTTCTACCTTTTATGACGGTGTTTCTTAGCCATTCATTTGAACACAGGGAACTGAAGCGCAGTACTCTGGGCCCTTAATAGACGATAAGATATCACGGTGGCACCATAACGATGTAAGTTGATGAAAGCCGAGTAAACCTTTTGTATGCGTGCGGAGATTTCACCCCTCACTAGGGCTCATTTGACTTCCTAGGTACATGAAGTCAGTGAGTCCAGCCATTTCACTCTGTATTGTTAGAAAAGACACCACTGATGATCAGTTCTAGAGCAACAGTTTGCAGTGTGTTGAAGAGAAACGCATCCCAAACACTCTCAATTGCCATCCAAGGTGTTCAGTAGGCTAGGTCATCTGTGTACTCTAGATCTACCAAGTATCCTCTCATGATAAGATCAATTCCTATGAAGTCAGATGATGGAGGGAGTGCTACGTATGTACGTCTCTGTTAAGGTTTAGTAGGAATAGAGAGAGTAGACATCCTTGACGGATACCACTTAATGTAAAGAACTCATCTGATACCCCACCTCAAGCTCTAACAAGCCCACAGATGTTTGAGTGTAGAGCCTTCAAAAGAATGTATCATAGGGGGATCGGTTTGACTAACATCATATCCAAGATCCTGGGGTCTATACTTATGTCACGCCTAACTAGGGTTCGAAAACAAATTCACGAAAACCAGGTAGAGTTATGGAACAGGCATGTTTGCTTACCATATTTCCTTGTCTGAAGGTGACATTCGGCTTTGATGACCATGAACTGTTGTAATTTTGTCTGATTGTGAAAGGAGTACTAAGCAAGTGTATAACACTAATCAAAGCTCTCTGCTCGAACTCTCGCAGCCGTGTTAAGTGTTTATAGGGGGTTCTCATCTTAATTGACGACAACTAGTGTCCATCAGGAGCCCTGTCACTGCTCCTATTTAATTTCATTATCGATATACTGGTGGATGTAACCTTAAGTACGTCTGACTTCACCACAGGGATTGAACTGCTTCCCGGAAAGCGTTTGGTTGACTTGGAGTATGAGGACGATAATGTGCTGTTAGGTGAAGGGGCTGACAAAATGCAAGGTATTCTGAACACGAACAGAAATCTAAGTATGTTTGCCATGCATCTCACGCTTGCCAAACTACTCCCAGTTTAATGATAGGGCGTGAAGTGATGGAATGTGTAGACCACTTCACTCACTTGAGGAGTTGCGTCATCCTGAGTCGGCTGGTTGCTGACGAAATCTCAGCTGGGATACAGAAGTGCCGTTTGACATTTGTTAAGTTGCGTCATCTCTGGTGCCGACTGGTGACATGCGACTAACTGTTAATTGACTCGTATGCTGCACTAAAGTCCATTTTGTCCTGTTATTCGGCTGAAACATGACTGATGAAAGCAGACGATGTAACTAGGTTACAGGTTTTCGAACACAAAGTTGTTCGCGTTTGATGGAATTACCATGTTAGCAATGTTGAAGTCAGGTGAAGGGTACACTAGGCAAGAAACAAAAGTCGGTGGGTAAAGTTGTGAAACTTCAGTGATTGAGTCGTCTTGGAGATGTGTTGCGCATGCCGAGCCACCGCCTGCCTTGACGGGCAGTTTGCCAAAGTAGGGTTCAGAAAACTCTCAGCTTAGTTAGACTAGGAAGTAACCTCAGTCGATTAAGTCCCCTGAACGTTAGTTTGAGCTGTTTAGGGAGGTGTAGACTACCTGACTAGAGTCCTCAGTAGGATATGAATCAATGATTACCGGCACTTGGTAAAAATGCTGAAAATAGGTCACAGTGGTGCAGATGTATTTACTCTTTGACGTTTTCTAGAGCCTAAACATTACAAGTGAAGTTGATCTTCAAATTCTTTTTCCTTCCGTACATCTTTGTTTACTTTGATATCACTCTTCGTCTTTCTAGTTCTTTGCATTCCGCTGTGCATTATGGCAACTTGTACTGATGGGCGTCTACGCGAGTTTGTATGTTGATTTTGTCTGTCTGCTTGTTTATCACTCCTTGTATGGTAGCTTTTAATATGTTGAACTCAGTCAGATTCGGAAATTGTGAATTTTCACTAAACTGCACTTGATATTTGTTCAGTCGATTGAATTAACATTTTCCAGATTATTTTAACTTTCGTATCAAATATGTCTTTGTTTCCGAAATGGGTAACACCTAATGTGAATTGTCTATAAAGTCATGACTGCTTTATGGTCAACTTAAGCTAAGCAATCGGAATTCTCGGAAAAATAATTGTGAGTAATTCTGACACAATCTACAACAGAATATTTGCTCGAAAACCTGAGAGTCTTTGGATATTTTGGAGCTGAATGTTTCCAAACCAATAACTAAAATCAATCAATGAAAGTTAAAGAAAACATCTTTTATGGAAGTGCTGCATGGAAAATAGAATCGTAATTCATATTTTAGGTTTCAAACTTGAAGTTTCTTATGTGCATTGGACTTCGTTCTTTGTCAACTTCCTTTGGTTGAAGTAACTTTGTGTGATATTTCAGAAAAACATTTTATTCATCTTTTTGATATGACTGCACATTTGTTGCTAGCATGTTAGTTATTCTTATTTCCTAAACACTTAAACTTATTTTGATAACTTTCTTTGCTTTTGGGAGGCCTGAGATGGTAGATTCCAGTTTGTCTAACTTCTCATAAAGTTGCACTCAACTCAGTTGTATCAAAGTAGCTCGTGGTGGCAGTTACTCTGACTTCTTAGTATTTTCTTATCTAACTTATTTTTCAACATGCTGCTTACTTTTTTATTTAACGATATGACTTATCAATTCAAGCGGGAATAACAAGTTATTTTAACAAATTATTTCACGTTTGTGGTGTTTTTAAAAAAACTAATTTCTCATAGATTGTGGATAATTTAATATCATTAGTTTTTTATGGATGAAATGGGGATGGATTGCTACTGTCCAATTATTATTTTTCTCCGAAATTGTAGTAGTGTCAGAATTTCTTATTATTTAGATTTCATAAGTGGATTGATATTACCAGTCAGAAAAAAAGACTAGAATTTGAGACAATAGTGTATCGATTTAAGTTACCAAATGTTTCAACACTTAGGTTTTTTCTTATTCGTAGAACAAGTATATTGGCCTCTTACTTAAGATATCAAAACATCATATTCAGTTTACTAAGATATTCCTTCACCGCTAGCGAGTAACAGACCCACCTAGGTAGGTTTGTTTGAATTGTTTGGTATTCAAGTATTTTAATGAATTGTAGCTAGCCTCTGTTCTTAGATATTGTTTTAGTACATGGTATGTAAATGTGTATGTATGCTGTTATTTATTTTTTCTATTTCTTTTTTCCCTAGAGTCTCAGATCCTGCACTTTTAGCCGTAGCCGCAAATAACATCGTCTGTATTAATCAAGATCAAAATATATTCGATAGTCGTAAACGCATTAAAATGGCTTCTACAGATGGCTTACAGTTTAAACTTTTCCCCCGTCAGCGTATCGATATGTTAGTTAACCAAGGTTTATTTTACTGGTACACAAATCAGGTGAGTTTTTGGTTGATACAATGTTAATTGTTTTAAAACTATTCTGCCAGTTCAAAAGACTAGCAAATATAGTCTTAGCAACATAAATTTCAAACTTCATCTCTAGATTCCTTCAAAATCTCTAACTAATTCTTCCTCTATCTTTATTTGCATACTTCATTTTGATAGTGTTCTGATTACTTATAAGTGCAATTGGTAGATTTCACGCATATTGTTTTCATTCCTTTTTGCATAGGTAGTGTCAAAATCATATCTTAACTCTCACGAAGTTTAAATGATTATTATTATTCTCATTACTAGTTATTTGTTGTTATATAGGCACTGTTTCAAATTCTCCAATTAATATTAACACAGAATTCTAACTACCAGTATCTTTGCTTTTGAACCTTTCATTTTCCTCACCAAATTCAAATTTTAGTCCATACTATTATTTAGTAAATGAACAGTGACTGAGGAATTCAGGAGTGTTCATGGTATATCTTTAATTTGTAAGGTTCAGAATAAATTTCATTCGTAGTTGAAGCACGTATGAGGTTCCAAGTGTTAGACATTTTTCTCTCAGGATTTATTCCTTTGGTTCCGACTGAATGCTAAATGCAAATCAGAATTATTATATCACCTTGGATCACATTTTCGGTAAATACATTCTTCTGTTGCTATGCATATCACTGGGTTATTTTCTGTGTATGAATGCCTTAGACGACTTTTATGGCCAATTGATAGTTCTGCATAATATTCAAATACCTAGTAGCTTTCTACTCAAATGTAAGGACGTACATGCAGACATAAAACATTACGCCTCACAATACTTTCGGTCAGCACTTTATTTTAAATGTGCGTGTAATGTGAATTAAATCATTCAGATGGTGTATTGTTTTGAGAAGTGCTGTCTGTCTATGCGAACAGAGAATCAAAATCATATTTGTGTTAAGTTCATAGCATGTTTAGTGATAAAGAGATTACAGGATTGTAAGTGTTTCCGCGTTTCTTGGTACTTGGCCCAATCAGAAAGCATTCAAAATCTCGACTTACTAACTCTTATGACTTAAATCATATATTATATGCGATTAGATAACTGTGAGAAAAGGTTAGTTTTGATATAACTACACTAATTTCACATCAACATGGCTCTGGAACCAACTAGAAATGGAGAATGAACTTAAGCACGGAACTAAGGTATCAATCGAGGAAATCATGCTAAAACTGTGAGTGCATTCTATTCTTCATTAGAACGGTTGAGATAGCGTCTACACATAAGAGCTGTACTTTCCTCACTTCTCAGTGTTCGGTGTGAAAGTATATTTCTACACAGTTTGTAACCTGATATAAAGAAAGCATGATAACTTACTTCCGTGTGAAATAACTAAAATTAAGTTTTGGATAGTTAAATATAGAATCAGTGATGATGCATTTATCTTTAGAAATACTACTATTGCTTGTATTATACCGTCGTTGATTTGACCAAATTGATCGGTCTCTATTGGCATATGGGGTCCTGTGTGGGTGCCTCGATATTGCGTGTTTTTATTTACCGACAGTAATGATGGATAGTGACTAGCAGTGGAATCCAGGATGCACATTTCGTCCTATTTGGGACTCGTCAGCTGGATGTACCTGTCTACCAGTAAGTGTTGTTCCCACTGGGATTCAAACTCGGGACCGGTCGCTTCAAACGCCAGAGCGCTATCCAGAGAGAGACAGAGATCAAAACATATTTTTCCTTCCTCAGGGATTTATCATTCTTTATTATAAACTTTCTCAAATGATGACAACGTTTCACAAACAATATTGCCCTTTTCTACCATGATGTTTTGTTATCTGGAAGGTAACCGAAGTAGGTGGTTGGTGCTTCAAAAGAATATTGTTCATTGTCGATGACAGTACTGAAGATGCATTCATATATATATATATATATATATATATATATATATATATATATATATATATATATATATATATATATATATATATACCTTTTCGTCATTTTCTCCATATCTTATGGTATTTTATACATCCTTATGTTTTCATATGGCTTTCTTGTCGATTTTCATTTGAATGTGTTGATGTTAAATGCACTCATTTATATCTCTTCTGAGTGATACTAGATATGAATTTGGCATTCCTGTACCAAACAATGTTTTAAACTCTTTATGGGTTGTTCTATACGGCATTTCTGTATTACGAACAGTTTTCTTCTGAGGTCTCTGTCGAGATTCATTTTTCTCAGGATCAAGCTTGATTTCAATGAGAAGAGTCCTGTGTTCATTGGTGTATTGATTTATACATTCATCTCCTGTTCCACATGTATATTTTTATGTTAAGCAATTTCTAAGTTTAATCATTAACTTTACTTTATTGAGTGAACCTGTAGCTTATTCATTTGTTTTTCGCAGATGGAAGCATGCACATCCAAACTACGTGCAGTTTTACAGGAAGAGTTGAATCCGCGGGCCTTGCTTCTGTCCGTTACACAGTTAGTTAGGGAGAAAAACTTGGACAAAGCGATATCTCTTCTAGAAGTAAGTAACTTCCTTTTAATTCACAGTTTTTGTAAGTAAAACTCCCTTAGATCATCTATTATAAATGTTGAAGACGTGACAACGTATTGATAGTTATTACTTCGCATTGGTGGTGACAGTTGGCCCTCAATTATAGACATAATTTAATAGGCTTTAAGTTACTTGAGTAATGGTAGGTCTTACTTAACTACCACCAAAAATGTTTGAGGATTATTATTTTGACTGAGTTTTCCGTTTGGCGTTGTATGTTGGACTTGATTACCTTTGACTGGGTTAAGTCATTAGAGTTATCTCATGCTTGAAGCAAGGTGAGTAGTATTCTTTTGGTAATCATACGACAGTTAGTTTGATCAAAATAGTGTCTGAGTTCGTTCGTCATCTAGCTGGAGATTGAGAACAATGAAGGTAAGAAAAGTAGATTAGTTCGAAACCTGATTATGAGTGTAGTGGTTGAATCATGACCCTAAACCAGATGATAGGACACAGACATACTTGCCGGCGTCCAACGCTTACCATATTTTTTGATTTGAAGGTGGCATTTGACTACATAGATAAAAATATTTTAGGCGATGTCCTTTGTTGAGAAGTAATACTTGTTTGCTAAACGTATTTTGCAATCAACTTTATATCTAATAAATGTTATATAACATTTAGGATTATCGGTCCAGAGTTGCCGGTACAGGTGAAGATAGTGATAGTCAGGTGAATGCAGAAATCCTTCTGGCTTTGGCCCAGCTGAACCTTCGCCGAATTTCAGCAAGTCATTTAGGACATGGTGTTCCTCAGCCTGTAAATGCACTAAATGTGGCTAAAATGCTTCCGGATCTTCTTCCTAAAAATTTACTACATTGTCCAGGAATTCTATCTACGCGTATAGCTTTATATCTTCTAGCAAGTTCTGGTGAAAATGCAGTACAAACCCGGGTGGATAGTATGAAACAAATCGTCAGTTGTATTGAATCAGCCCTTCATTATTATGAAGAATTGGGGGGACAGGTAATCCTTGTGCCTATCTAACCATACCTTTTTCAGAATTTTAATATCGAGTATTATTTTTTTTACTACTTCAGTGTTGATTAACAGTAATCCAAACTCACTAAGTAAGGTTGTTTTTGTGACAGGTAGACTGGTTGTAATTTGGTCAGGTAGCAACTGTGAAAGATATCTGTTCAGATAATTCATACTTTGTTTTGTTCTTGTGAAACATGGATATTAGAAGAATAAGTCGAGTGGAAAATTGTTCGTCTTTCAGTTGCAGGATCAGCATTTAATGGGGTCATAATATGAACTCAGTCGGGATGCATAAATCTATAGGACAAGATGATAAGTCTATGTTAACTTTTGCTTCTATCAGGAAAAATAGCGGTGACTGACAAAACTGATGAAATCAACATAGAACCTTGCACAGGAGTGCTTCAGCTCAAGTTTCCATACTTCACAGAAGTACACAAAGAACAGGTGGATAGAAAAGAAGTGATATCAAAGTAGATTAAGTAATGTGACAGAATAAAGTCTGAAGATAAAGGTTAATGCGAATATTCAAGCTTTAGAGGATGTCAAGGAGTGAATACATCTCGGTCATTCTGACCGATGTGTAGCAGAAAATGAAGCGAAAGGGGAAGAAATGTGTGGCAAAAGTCAGAGTAATGAAATGATAAGTAATTATAACAAGCTCCGTCAATAATTGTTGTACAATGTAAACTGACGTACCTTATCACTTTCGGTACGAAAGTTCCTACACTTAAATGAGTCGAAATACCTAAAGGTATATCTCTAAGTAACTTGTGACTTACTACGGCTGGTATATTCATGCGACCATATTCATTATCTAAATGAAGCTGACAATGAAATATTCATTTCGAAGCATAACCTTTTGGTGCTATCTTGCAATATGCAAATCGCTTAATTTGAAGTAGTTAACTTTGATTGATAGATGGAAAAGTATTAAACCTGATTATTAAAATTATCGAAGTATCAGTGTGGTTGGTATTTCATCAGAAGTATTTATTGTTGATAGATCGATTGGATTATTTCATAATGCATCTATCTTCATGATGCTCTTTTTCAGTGTTTCACTTAAATGCGTTTCCAATGAAACAGGAGTGACTTTAAAGGGTCACCCTAGCAACTACTGGATTTGCCAATAGGCTTCTTTATTTCAACTGAATAGTTATTGTTGTGAAGTCGAGAAACCTGATTGTTGATTACATTAGGTATTAAGGTGGTGTATACGTTACAAAGCTCATCTTTTCGATGATACGTCTGTATAATAACAGTGCAAAATGAGTGTTACAGAAACTTGTGTTAATGTTTCTCAGTGTATCTCTAAACCGTCTGATGATATTATTACAATAGAAAGATTTTATTGTATGTTTAATTTCTTACCTTACTTACTTTTACGCATAAAATCAGACATAGGATGCAGAGGAAATTAATTTTTCCATAAGGTGGAGGATTTTCATATTTCAATAATAATACGAACATCGAACGAAATAAGAGAAAGTTGTAGTGCGCTTAGTTGTCTGAAAGTCATTGTTAAAGAATGGGATTATGATTTCAGTACTATAGGCGAAAAAGTAATTGGGAAAGAGAAGCCTTTGAATTTCTTTCAAGAAATCCTAACCAACTAGTTGTTTCTTTGACAAATATTCAAACTCTGGAGTGACGCGCCAAATTTAAAACAGGATTTGTCTGAAATACGGCAGTAGTGACAAGTGACAGTAGTGACTGCCAAATTACAAACTTGGGAATGCGAGGTATCTGAGGGTCTGTGACTGTCAAAAGTGTGCATCAGCAAAGTAAGTAGCAGAGCTGCATGTAAAGCAATCTAGTGGAAAGTGTCAAGAACGCACCGATTCACGGAGTAAGGTAAAAGGTTTAAGATAAACGAGTGTTCAAAGAAAGGTAGAGCATCAAGAAAGTAAATTAACATTACAGTCAAGAAATGAGGAAGGTAATAATATTGTAGGATATTTAAATCATAAACAAAATATTAATTTATCCGAACGAAACAACTGGAGTTACGGATATGATAATATTATGAGGCAATTTAATTTGTACTACTGATTGATGGTAAGTAGTATGATTTAAGACAATCAAATTAAAACGAAGTAGTTCTAACCTATCAATTTTGCTATGGATATAGTTTCAAAAGCTTTCTCTGCCTCATGGTTGGCCCCACAAGAAAGTCTAAGAGAAAAGCAGATATCAAAGAGGTGTGTTTCAAAATCGGTCTTAAATTATGTCTTTACCACCAAATGTTACCTATTGTGCATCACCTTTTCGGTTGGGAACAACGGATAAGGTTTTGATGAGATTCTGGAACCCACCTAATCATAAGTTTTGCAGTCAAATGGTTTCTTTGTGTTCCTTGTCAAGTAGGAAGCAACGAAGGTAGTCTGAATAATATCATTGATACTGTTTATTTCAGAAGCTTGTCAACTTCAATCAGTATTACCTTAATTCCGAATGGATATACTTTATCCCTGTATCTAAGATGATTGGATACCACTGAATATGTTCAAAGAAAGTTCACAACTACGGCTGTAGTATTTTTATCGGGTTATCTTTTATGCTGTATGGTAGTTCTAACTACTGTTACCTTCCCTACTTACATTTAGCACTTCCTTATTAGTTTTCCACTTCACTATGTTTTATCCTCAGAATGAAATATACTCTCACCTACTGGATTATTGTGGGACGTTCCTTCTGCAACAGGGTGAGGCAAAACTTGCTGCGGAAATTTTTGAGAAACAGTTAGCTCAACTTGAGTCAGACGCTAAAAAGAAATCGCATAACAAGCAAAGTAGTTTGACTAAGCAAGGACTGCTTGCTCGGTTGGTACGCGCTTATGCTCAGTTTGACCGCCCCAAGGCTGAACAAGCTTGTAAATCGTTACAACCCAAGGGTTCTCTATCAGAGGCTGATGTGGACACACTAGAAACTACCTTCCTATACGGGGCGAAGTCACTTAAACGTCTTGGTCGAGCCAGCGAGCAAGTAGATACGTCGGAAAAAACGAAATCGAAACAAAATCTAGCTAAGAAAGTTAATTCTGAGTAAGTGTGTTATGTTTGTTGAGAGTTCTAGTAGATACATTGTTATCAATTCCATTCATTACGCTTGTCATTTTATTATAACGTTTTCATATTCGGGGTATTTTTTTCTTTGACTGTGTTTAAAAAAAATATTTTAAGCAAGAGATCAGCTGGATTTTATCAGCGATTTCGCGTAGTAAGTAATTTTGTGATTCTTTATGTATGTATTTATGTATTATTATTATCTTTTGAGATGAATACATTTTAGAGCGCAGTTGTAGTCATCTAGGAGCCTAGAAAATATATTCAATTCACCTTTCACGATGTGATTTGATGCTTATCTAAAAGTGATATTAACATTTAGAGGCTTTATGGGGATTCATCGGTTGCAAAGTAGTTTTTATCACTGCTAAGGACGCCTAAATAAGTATAAAATAGCTATCATAGGTTTTCAATTTACTTTATGCACAAAGTGAATGCAGTATGAGCACCAAGAAATGCGCCAATTAGTATGATATAACACCATTATGATAAAAGTGATGAATAAGGAAGTAAAGAAGAACAAACGAAAACAGTAGATGTATTATGAAAGAATTAGTTTGAAAGTTGCATCCAAGCAAACATTCATTAATTTCAGAGTGAGTTGTTCTCGAATCTCAGATTGTGAACTATACTTGATAACGTCTCTGTGGAGTCTTGATGCAATCACTAATACTAGTACCTGCGATGACTCAATCATATTATTCTCTAGATCGATTTTAAAGATGAGAACAATGATAACGGCTCTCCAGAGAAACAGAACACAGCCTATCTTTCGAATATCCCAGTCATTTATTTGAGTACAGTCTCGCCTTCTTTGCTACGAAGAGCCGCTCATATTTTATCTAGACTGTGTACCTTACGTCGTTTTAGTACGCGGAGTTAGTTTCGGACCTCCATTTTTATACGAAAGCCCGTTCTAACGTGCTATAAAGCCTGATAAACTGAAAACAAATTTGCTTGAGTTGAAGATGGGCTAATGTGCTTTACCCATTATACATAAAGATTCTCTAGTAGCATATCATTTAACGCATATACCGTTTAACTAACACCAGAATTCTTGCTGCCGGTGTTTGGGATAAGCTAGAGAAGTTTTCGAATATTGTCTGATGCAACCGATGCCTCCATATCACCCACGTCATCTGATAACTGCATCTTTTGGTCCTTACGCACGTGCTGTTTGATTTTTCGCGTTAGCTGCCGTGTTTTTACCAGTGAGATATTCTTCAAAGCCACAAGCATCCTTACTCGTTATTTTTTATGGTGTTTTGCTGCTTCACCCAATGCTCATTTCTACTTTCTGTAGGTTCGATGGTTAGTCTGTAATCCAGCTTGGTTTAGTATTTATTTGTAGTACTGGGAACAGCCAATTGGCTAATATGATGGTAAAACTTGAACACTACGCTAGAATGTTCTATTTTATTTGAATCAGTATTGTTTACTAGACTACGTTTCGAACATAAATTATTGTCCATAATCATATCAGGATGTAACATGCCTACGGAAAATAAATTGTGTCCGAAACGTAGTCCGGTAAATAATGCTGTTTAAGTCTAGACACATCAGTGATAGCTCTGCTGCATTCCAGTATCGATCATTAAGGAGTTATGATCTGTGTGAATCTAATTCTCCTTTTCTAGATCTGTGACCGGCAAATCATCATTGGCTATGTAAAGTTTTCCTGTGGGTCAATTCACCTACGTTTCATACTCAAGTTCCCTTGTTAGCATCACGACATGGAGTACACTTGATGTAGACACCTCCCTAGCCGATAGATAGAGGTATTGTTTCCCTTGCCATTTTTATGCTGCTCTAGCTGAATCCTTTAGTGGAATCATTTGAGGTGGTTGTTAATGGGGATCCGGTTGACTAGTGTAGCTTCAGCTCTTGATCAGTGGGAAACATTTAAAGAGTAAAAGCGAACTCCGCTTCTCCATTGTCCCAATGCATTTTATGGACTACACAACATATCGAGGCCCTTGTTTATTCCAAAGTTTATATTAGGTGATGATTGAAGGTGAGGTGAAAATCTGGACTGCGGCCGAATTTTCATCTCATTGTTATCATAGCCGTAATGTAATGCAAATGCATTTTTGTACCTCAGTGGAGGAAAAGCATGAAAAAAAACACTTAAGCTTTTATTGTGATTCAGTATGCTCAACAACCTATAGGTACTAGAAATCGGATTCAGGATCCACTGGAGAGTTTTTTATGACCAGCAGCCAACCAATTTCTTATTCTTTTTGAATTTATTTTTGCAATACCTTGATAATGCTTTTCTTTGGTTTGTCGTTAGTATTCCCACCTCAGAAAATCCACCTGTAGATCAAATTACCAAACGTGCTAAGCGCAAAAAGAGGAAAGTTCGCTTACCAAAGAATTACCAACCAGGAGTGCTACCTGATCCTGATCGTTGGTTACCTCGACGAGAACGTGCACATTATCGTGGTAAACGTCGTGACAAGCGTTTTGGACCTACACGTGGACCCCAGGGTCAAATAACTGGTGGAAGTGAATGGTACGTTCTATTTATTCCTAAAATGCAGTGATACTTGCACTTATGTAAACGTTCCATTTACATGTCAACTCCTAGCTTTTCATAAAAGTTGCACTCCACATCTCGTTTTATACACACGATAAAGTTGATAGTGGTCTGTACAAGTACAACTACCTCCTTCATCACCGTTTTAATGCTTAAATCCTGAAATAAAACTGAACATGTGTTTATTTTCGAGAACGCTAGGGTTTTTAAATGGTACATCGATACCATTAGAAATACCTCATCTGAACACGTAAAGTTTATGTTTGAGGAGAGTACAAATTAAGTATTAGTTGCTTTTATTTAAAAGTGTAGAAACTTGGGTTTTATAAATAATTACATCGAGTAAATAACTAGATAACCATAAACTCTTCCTAAGACACTCAAGGATTCATTTATTTGTATATACTTGCAAGAAAATTCTTATTTCATTTTAGGGATGCGACGGCTCGTAGTCCTAAAGTTTCATCCCGTGATGATGCTTCGGCGGGATCAACTCCCAAACAGGTGTCTGGTGCTGCTAAACAGCAACAACAAAAGAAAGGTCGTAAGAAGGGTCGATAATATCTTTCTTCAATTAATAGGAGAACGTATTTCACATATTGATAATTACTTACGCAAGATATTTTTTGTGAGCTGTATTTAGCCACCATGTATATTTGCTTGTGCTTTAATTTGTTAGTTGTTTCTCTTTTCAAAATCCTATTATGTAAACACCAGTCGGATACGTTTTAAATACTTCGCGTTTTGGTGAAGCGCATTTTTTCAGGAGGATAATTGTATTTGATGATTAAATATCTGTTCATTTTCCATGAGTCATCCTATCTACTTGTCTTCAATTTTTATTTATTGAATCATTTACTTATCATCATGGTGTATCGCTTTCTTCTTCTGTTTCTTGTTGCGTAACTATATTTTTGATTTAGTCACTAGTAATTTTCATATTCACTCAGGCCTCAGAAAAACCCAGTACTAACGTTGAAAGTAACACACCTCTTTGCTTATTCCATTCTACTGACATGCTAACTGACTTATCACCCTGTCTGTTTAATATTCTAGTTATGATTAGCATGTCCACTTTGATTTGTGTAAAGTATGCGTAATATTTGCTCCCTAGTGGAAAGCAATAGGATTCAGGATGTGCATTTTGTGCTACTCTAGACTCATTAGCTGAATGTACATGCATCCTAGTATTCCCACTGAAACTCGAACCCAGCACCCTTCGCTTCAAACGTCAGGACGTTATTCACTAGGTTACGGAGCCACATCTTATCATTTGTTGTTTATCAACACATCATTTCCATTGATTTTTATACTAAACCTAATTGATCGGTCTGTTAGTATTTAGGCTCATTCAATGAACTCTTGTATATAGCCTTAAGATTCATTTTGATGTTATTTGCTTGATGGTGGCTATCAGTAGAATCCAGAATTTGTGTATTCTCCTATTCAGGACTCATTAGTCTAAAAGATAACACTCTAGCGCCTAAGGCAATAAGTTCTCAGGTCGAAGACAGCAGCTATGGGAACTAAGGCATAGTCCTATCCGAGTTGGTTCCTTGTAGATAGAACAACTGAGATATTCAGTTGGGACAAACTGCTATACAAAAAACTAACATTTTTTCCATGAAACTTCAAAGCATTCATCGTTATTGTTTACAACTGGATGGTGCGAATCCTTGTAGACTAATCAGAAGAGGTCGCCAACGAAATCAAGGTGATCTAAGCAGGGCTGTTTCACTCGTTAGCGATGTACTCGGATTGATTCAACTGAGAAAATTGAATATTTTTAGCTGTTCAAATTCTTTCTTACTACTTGGTCGAACTAATGGTATATGGAATACAATCAGATGACTGTAGCGTCAGTACTGATTGGCGCAAGTAGGTGAAAACAGGATATGTATTCTCACCGAGTAGAACTGGTCTGAGTGCATCGATGATGAGTTAACCTCAAAAAGCAAGACGATTGTCTGAAGTTTATATTATTCCGATATTACTGATCGATGTGAGCGGCATACAAGTACGCATGTCAGTTGGTAGTTATGTCACTCATTTTTAGTGCTCGCGATAATTATACTGTCTAGTGTTGATCAGGTAACGTACACTCGTCAGAAAGTCTTCGTTGCCAAAGAAAACGGTCGAAATCTCGCAGCCTTGGCTTGCCTAAACGCATCATTCTCAATTTCAGTTGATGCTGCCTAGAAATTTGTCTAAAACGATAAAATAGAATGAACACAAACTCAGTGGTAGATAGCATCCAACCTACCTTCGAGTTAGAAAATGCAAAAGGTGAACAAGCTGTGCAATATTACAAAATAAAATGAATATAAGACGATAGCTTTAGGGCAGAAAAATACATTCTAGTAGTTATGAAGGGTTTGGTTATTCTCATTCCATAAAAGTAAATGCAGGTTCGGTCGAGTGTCTACGTGGTCAATTTAGTAGTCTGACTAGTAGGTTGAAAACCGCAAAAGAAACAACTATCCCTTTAAAGTAATACAAATTCGCAAGAACTTCATAATGGAAAAATAGTGTAAGCGTTACATGCGTCACGGCGAAGGGGGGAACTAAGGATTTCTACTATGTCGCCATATAAGGAAAGGCCATCAGTAACCCCACGTAGGATAAGAATGGCACTGAAACCTGAAAATGTATTAATAAACAATAAATCAATTTAGTCAACCAAATGCCATGCAATGACGATATGATCAAGCACGTAGGTCATCAGTCGATGAGAGTCAGGTTATGAGAGCATAGGAGCTTGTAGTCCCAAGATGAGGTATCTATAAAAATAAGCAATTTGGAAAGGAATTCAGCCATTGCCATGCATGCAGCGATAATAAACCATACCACAGGTTGGAACAAAGTGGTAATCCTAATGGCTAATACATTAAAATGACAATAGGAGCTGATTGCTAGGTCCCTTCTGTCGAATCCCTTGCCTGACATGTGCAATAGCAACAATACAACACCAGTCCCGGGTATGTGGAAAATTGTCCTATTAATTAGTCAAAGAAGGAAAAAGCGTAGCCAAGGGGTTATATGACCACCTTTATATGGTTATGAGCAGTAAACTGTACTCGAAACACCTTCCAGTAAATAGGGTGGTATCACAATATGCTACACCATTGGGTTAAAGTTCACTCTCCTCTTTGTACATCGAGTGTGCACTGAGGAGAGTCCCAAACTATGATCGACAAGGTTTTAGTGACTCGCGGTTTCACATAGTTCCATACTCGATGCAAGTCTGAAAAATTGCCATGAAATTAGAGTGACTTTAAAGGTCACCTTAACAACAACTGAAATAACGAATCCGATTTCTGTTTTATAGAGAATCTGCCTTTCCAGCCGAAATAAAGAAATCTAGTTGGCTATTTCAATCGTTTCTAGGGTGGCTTGTAAAATCATCCTTGAAATTATCGATTTCTTATTTTTTAGTTCACGGTGACGAAGGTTCTGTAAAAATGAAGTGAAATATCTCAGTTTTGCTGTGTAAACAATAGTGATTTATTTCTGAACACTTGAAAATGTAAAAGGGTTGTTATAAGTGTTGTCCTTCCTCCAGATTGTTGTTTGCACTATATAAATATACATCTCAATTTCATGATCACATCGATTTTGAACATCAGAATGACTGCAGAAAATCATCAAAAAGGTAACTTTCTTCAGCTGTTTTGTCATTCTTCTATTGGCTTTGATAAAAATTGCTTTCAGTTGGCTAAGAAGTACAGAGTTTGGGCCGCGCTGGACAATGAAAAACAATTCATTTTGTGGGGAATTTACTGATTTTAAAGAGACCTTCATAACGGATCAAAAGGGAATTTTTGGAAACCTGGAAGCACTGAATAGCCGTTTCCCCCATATCATCAATTCACCACATAAACTACTTTTAAATCAATGAATCTCTACGAACTACCAGTCGAATAAAAGTTTCAAAAATTTGCCCAAGTGTACTACTTGCTAATCCCTACTAACTAGATGTAACTGAATTCATTATGTATCTATCTGCCTTTCCTCCCTAAACGTTAATAGCCCTCATTAAAACACTAAAAGCACAGAGTTACTTATTTACAGAGTAAAAAACGTTTGTAATTATTGGAATCCAGTTTTATTTTTTATCCACAGATTTCTTATAAAAAACAGTACACAACGATATCGATAGAGTAAAATTCATGTGTAAAGTTAGTACATACTTGATATGTGTTAAATTACTGACCGATTTCATGATTTTGAAGTGAGATAAAACACAGATGATTAACAGAATTCATACATGAATATGATGATTTCTATCGGTAAGTAATTTAATTCACACAAAGGAATATCATGACTAACATATCAATAATAAACAAAAACAACAACAAACAATATAAAAGACACGTTATGCTAAATGAAAGCAACTAAATAACATTAAATTAAGTCAAATGATGGCAGTTTCATTTCATCTGCTAGCATAGCAGTATTGCACTCAAAGTGTAACAATTCTGTAAGCTGTCCAATTGTCATACGCATTAATTGAGCTCTATCTTCACTGGGTCCAGCAACTCCTGAACTGGTAGAACTTGTTCGTTGTGCACCAGCACCAATCATACATTCTGTATCTAGATTATATGGGTCAACTTTTATGTTTCGAGAGTGTGATGCATGCAAGGCTGCTTCAATACTATCTTTGACCAAGAAACGATGCACAACTCCAGGTCTAAAGTATAGGAGAGATCAGAAATGGGAAGTTCTAATGATGAATTAGTTTAAGCAAATAATTAATTACCTATGATAATGCAGTTTGATTACACGATTCAGGAATCGTCAACTTGCATTCTCTAGAGTTGAAGTTTCCATGGATAAATACTTTTATGTCAATCTGGAAATCATCATTACACGAGCGTTATTTCTTTTTAACCTATTACTTTTGTAAGTCATACGACGAACTCTTGATACAAGTAAATAAGAAGTTCAAAGCGACAAAAACACTTTTTAATAACTTCATGTCATGCTGTCCAATAGAAATTAGCCTTGGAATTAATCCAAAAAACCTAGGTCCGGTTAATACATGAGATTTTTTGAATTTATCCAAAAGATGAGGAATAAGTACAAACATTTATTTGACTTTTAGTATGTAGCAGTTGGGATTTCTAGTTTTGATAAAGATGATGTGGTGCTTAATTACCAGTAAAAAAGTGATTCTGGCGCTGTAACCCACTACTTTGTGCACTCTATATTTAACCATCGAGTTGCAAGTTCAAACTCATTTGGCTTAGTTAGGTTTGAGCTAACAAGTAGCAGCGTAAACTACACACAATAGATATGGACCATTAATTAATACATAGTTGTTGAGCTGCATTATCATCGCTGAATCAGGTACTTTGGAAAGATCGAAATCCTAATTTTTCTGTGCGTTGTTTAGGGTGTAGCCTGAGTAAGCCCTATTCGAACAGCAGCAAACGTTTCCCTGAGCTTCTTGACGATTTCCGTGAAACAGTCTTCTCCAGTTTACATTGGCAAGACTGCTTTCGAGAAACTTTTTCTATAGTTCATATGCTGACCATTTGATAAGGCAGATACTTGACGAATGGTTAGTATCATGTCTCGTATATGCTTTGTACTAACAGGTATACAGTCAACTTACTAATTAGATTTTCGTACATTTTCTCCCCACTTTCTTCCAGACTTGTCAGGACAGTTATGAAGTCCTACGTCATATATTTGTTCGGTAATAGGACGTAAAATTACGCTTTATCTCAATATATTTGCAGAAGGTTATGGACCACTGCAAACCCATTTCGGATACAGCAAATAGAGGAACTTAAAAAATCAGAAGTATGGTACATCTCAAATATTCTCTAAACCAATTACTCTCAATTAGTGGTAGATAGGGTCAGTGAAGTCAAATCATCGAAAGGGGAACATACATCTCCCTGTTTGTTGGCGAAACTAAAGGAGCTTAGGTCAGTGTCAGACTAACAAATCAAAGGAAATAATTTAAAAGTTAATTTATAATCGTCATTTGAAGTAAAGTACCTTGTTTGTCCAATTCTGTGTATTCGTGCTACTGCTTGAGCCTCTCGTGCATGTGACAATACAGGGTCAATAAAAAGTACATGATTTGCTGAAGTTAAATTTAAGCCATTAGCACCTAATTGAACCGGCATCAAAAGGATCCATGTTGTAGAACCAAAGCATTGAAAACCAGCTAATCTTCCTGGACAACAAGCATCACGAGCATGAAATAAAGTTGTATAGGCCAATCCATTCTGATCTAATGCACCAGCTAGTGTCACTAAGACAGATAACCACTATAAAAAGTAAGAATAATAAAAAAAGGTAGTGTTTGATGAAGTTGTGTCCCTAAGCAACATGGAAGTGAATTATGACCAGGAAAATATAAGAAAATGACAGTACAGATGATTCATAAAGTGATTTCCTGAATGTCTATTTAAACAAGTCCTGTATATGACAGAGATCGGAAGTATGAGTGGAGCAATCATTTTTATGAAGTATACATATTATATAGTGGAATGATTATTTGAATTAACGAGAAACTGGCAAATAGGTTAGCACAAGTAAGTTGTGTCTACTTTGTTAGAAATACATTTTGACTAGAGATGTCAGTTGTTGTGGTACTCAAATGATGAGCCTGGAAACCTGTGGAAGGCATATCTTTCCAGTTCGCCTTGATAAAACTGTATTTAAGAAAAGATAATCAATAGCTAAATTCACCCAATCATGGTATACTCACACATTCGTAGCCTATCAATATAAACTAAAAGCAGTATAACATTAAATTTCAAATGGTTATTCATGCCTTCTCTCGACTGATAATGAAAAGTTCTTCCCTTGAATATTACATACTTTCCTTCTGATGAGGACAACACTAAGAATGCTTCCCACAAGAACAGACATATGCACTTTCCTTGGCAAAGTCGATAAGCTTTTGATTTTATGTTAGTTTTTGTTCAAGGAAAATAATAAAAGATATGAAGCATTCTCAAAAACTAAAATTTTTAATCGCCAGCTACAGTAGGTAGATAGGTGACCTGTTTCATGAACTGCTCTCAGGTGGATAATGACGACCTAAGATCCTATGCAAGTACACAGATGAAGGTCAATTTTATGGAAGATTATCGACGCAGTCAAGAGAGATTGAGTGATTCAGTTGAATGATATTTTGTTACCAAAGGGCAGAAACAGTGTAGGACTTGAGAATCTAGACTGCTTTACGCATTTCTTTAAAGTAGGAGAAAATAGTTCGATTACTCTCCGATGTTTTACAATTAGTTTAGATATCAACGAGTGACCCTGAGTTTTGACCTAAGCGGAAGATTGAGAAGAAACTGTAGATCTACGGTCGACAATTATTGATTATCGTGAGCAGGGTTTATCTTCAACCAACAATATTGCTGAGATTCGCCCTTGCTTTGTTTGACAGCATAATCACAGATGGTATTGGTAAACTAGGTTGATCACTAGCTTCTTGTGAGACTGGACAAAGTGCATGAACCAGTCTTGAGATGTTGATCAATGCAGCGCTGTAACCTTCACTGATAATCAAATTTGTTAAGGTGAACAGATGAGAAAAATAAAGTGGCTGAGACCATTAGTTTCTGTATATACTGTATGGAGTCACAGCCTATAGGCAAATAACAGTTTGGAATGCGATATGATTTGATGCAGACTTATCAGTCCACTGTGGAACATATGTCAGTCAGGCATGTTCATTCTCATTCCCTAATGTGGTCAATAAATGACTATCTTAGGTGTTGTGTAATTTTGTGTGTAATTTCTTCGGTTGGAATTAGTAGTGAACCAATAACAGTTTAAGGAATACAAGAATGACAGTGGAAAAGGGATGAGACATTGTAGTCACGTAAGCGAGTGGCACGAAACAATGATGTACTGCGTTAAGTATTAATCGAATAGTTGTTAGCATTTCTAGGAATTCAACAGAGAACTACGGATCTAGCCTTCATACTAACTTGCAACAATCAAGAAAGACTGCCTCAGACTTCAGCAAAATCTCGTGTTTCGTTTGAAATTTCAACATTTGTCAATTAATCTGTATCACAAATAAATATACAAGAAGTGAGTAATTTGCCGATTATTCAGTAAAAATTGAACAATCAAGATATACTAAATTACTAGTTTACCTGAAAGTAACATCAATAGGCAAAATTGAATTAGCGAGGAAAAATGAATGACACTATCATGATAACTCACAGAGCTGAAAACGATAGCTTTCGCATCCGGATCATTACGTTTGATCAATTTTAAACATCGGATAACAGCTCTCACTTTCGTACTATGATCACCCTAAAAAAATGAACAATTTCATGCAATTTTTTAAAAAGATCTAATGTGAAAACAAAATGTAATTTACAATGTATGCACATGATGATGAAAAGAAGTACGAAATAGTTCATAGTTGGGATCAAAGTGAGTATCATTTCCATTGGTATGACTAGATTCTAGCCTACTCTCTACAGATACACAATGCCTTTGAAAAATTCCGAGTTCTCTGGATAGAATAATAATGTTGAAGTTATCACCATCATCACAACTTTACAACATACGATAATGTCGTTGAATCATTTTTACACATCATTTTGTTTCAGTATTGTGGCTGCATCTTTAACTTTTTACCTCGAACGTATGATCTTAGATTTCACAGACTAAATCTACATACGTGATAGGATGGAACAGAAGGGAATTAATAAAATAATTTGCACGATTGGGGAGAAAGAGGTGGATAAAAGATGCCAAATTCACTATGTAAACACTCAAAACGTCACAGAAATAATTCAACACCGATTTCAATTACGTAGAGAATCATACTACTGACAAAGTAAAGAATGAAAAACAGTAGAATTATAAACTAGGCATAATAGTTGTTTGACTACTTCGATATGATTAAGAGGAAAAATTTGTTTATGTTAGTTGGTTGGAGGCGATCAGCAGGAATTCCTGGACCTAGGTTTCATGATTGTTGGCCGATTGACTCCAACCAAATAACACCTATCAAAGTGCACCACGATGGTGAACCTCCTAGAATGGAGTCCATATTTCAAGCTGATCGATAGATTTGATCAGCGCTTAGGACTAAATAACACGAAACTTGGTGTTCTCCAGTGATCAATCTATGTAAAATACTGTGTGTGAAACATCATCCAGTAAGTAAAAATGTCTCACTATATCATACATATAATACATAAAGATGGAATCGACTCGTAATACAAACTTCTGACAGAAAATCCAAAGAGCATGCAAAAATCAGATTTTTGAGTTGATTAAAATGCTACCTGAAATCAATTATATGGTCTTATTTTAACTTTATAAAACGCTTAGGTATTTTTGGCCAACAAAACTTAAAGGGTCACCTTTCTTTATTTTACTGCATCACGATAACTCTCTACAAATGTCTAGAATAAAAATATCCAAACGACAACAATGGATCAACATGATCATAGACCGCGATTAACCGATGCCGTCACATTTCGTGTGCAGTAAAGTATCATAAAATATGTGAAAATAAAAGGTTAAGCTGTGGAAATTTCCTGAATGTCTTTAAAGGTTATACATCTTACTTGAATTTCATGTATGGTAGAAAACGTTTATTTACTAATAGTCCCAATGAATTGTTTATGTCATTCGATAGAAAAAACGTAGTTAACTCAGGTGTCACACCTGTTACAGACTTAGTCAGTTACAGTTGTGTGCACAGTTGTGACTTTAAATTTCAAAATAAAAAAGAAAACCTTCATTCAACATAGGATGTTAACTTTTAGACAGTAAAAATAATTAGCTTACCACTATATTCAAGTCTTCTTCTGCCTCTTCAGATTTCATTGAGTTTTCTTGATTTGCTTTGTTTCCAGCATAATGAATGAGTGTTAAAGGTCGCCTGCGTCTAGCATTTACACCTGTAGTTTCTGTTGATTGGAATGGTGTTCGACATATTGGACAACGTCGTTGAGTGATCTGACTTGATGAAGCTATACGGTCATGACAAGTGACACATAGAGTATGCCAGCACCCAGGAAGTAAAACAAATGTTGGCTTAGATGGTGAGTGTAATTGTAAGCAGGTAGGACATTCAAGTGGACGAGTTCTTGATTGTTCACCGTTAGCATTATTGTCATCACTTGAAGAAAAACCAGTTACTGCTGTTAAATGGGCATTTCTTAAGAAATTAAAATGTCCAAGGCGAGACTGAAGTCCCGGCCAAATCATATTAGCCTCAACTATGTAGGTGTGTAACTGTGAATCAACCTGTAAAAATGCAATAATACTCAGATGTTGGATCAAAACTATTAACAGATAATGGCTAGGAACTAAAAAATTAACAAGGAAGTAAATTACCTCATCTTGAGGAATAAACGCCATATCCGTTGGACAGGTGGCTTGTAAACGAACGACGAACTGTTCAGTATCATCATGTATATTCCACCATTCTCTGGTCAATGACTGGGTGCGACTAGTTAGCTACAAAGAACCATAGCCAAAAATCCACATGATTTTTTTAAACAAATTTGCACTAAAATTCTCAGTTGCTAATGTAAATCCGGACAAAAAAAGGTATGCTCATATTGAATTAATTTATCTGATGCAACACACAGGGTTATAATCTTACTTACTAGATGAAATTTCGAGTACAATTTATGGCTCATAATCAAGTCAAAATGATCATACAACTTCTAGTCTTTTGTAAAGGGTAAACAACTCTCTATTATTTTATTTGCAGTCGTAGAAGATTTCTCCAAAGGTTTGGAGTAATGTCAGGATCCAGGGTTGATGTTTACTGACTTACATGAATTATTCTTGTTACATGTGTTAGAAATTCATCCGATGAACAAAGATCCTGTGATCCATCTCTGTCTTCAACAAGCCGTACTATATTTCATAGATGTCACTGTGTCCCGTCCTACACTGCGATTATGAGTCAGTGGATGCAGAATGACAGCATAGCTTTTTCCTGCATTACTAGTGGTAGTAGGGTCTATCAATCTATATTTCGTTCAATTTTTATGTTCCACGTGACACTTGTCGATTAAGTCCCTGACTTTTGATTTAAGTCGTATAGTGAGATGTAGACTACCTGGCTGGGGTCTGCAATAGGATAAAAACCAATGGTTGAGGACTCTTGGTGACATGGCTGAAAATCGGTCACAATGGTGAAGATGTATTCACTTCTTGACATGTAAAGCTTGAATATTACCACCAATCGTTATCTTCAAATTGCTTATTCTCTCCCACTACTTAGTCCTCTTTGATATCACTCTTTTTTGATCCACCAGTCCCTTGTGTACTACTGTGAAGTGTGGCAACTTGAGTTGATGCACATATGTGCGAGGTTCTAAGTTGATTTCGTTAGTAAGGCAGTCAATCAAGGTACAAAAATCCATCAGAGTAGACGTATAACTTACTAATATCTCTTTCCCCATTAAACGGATTAATTGCTCCAAACGTTTAGCTTTTGTATGATACAGCATTTTCGAAAACGGAAGTTCGCTGGCAGGAGTAGATGATAAAAGTTTAGATACCTGTTGACATATTATAGACAATGACATAACCAATGGATTATTCAAAATAAGACCAGTTCCGGATTCGTTTACAGCGGCTGTAACACCAGATGACTTTTCCAATGAATCTGTACTACTTTGCGCATCAAATTCAAATATAGATGGACGACTAGGTATAGACTTCACTCGTTCATGATTTAATGCACGTTGGTAATTACATAATGCTCTTAAAGCGTTGCAATAAGCGCAGCGTGTCTTTTTCGGTGTACGACGAGTAGGTGTATTATCAGAATTCGATTTCTTCGTTTTATCATCTGTCTTAGATTTGTTCTTCTTTTTATCTTCCTTTCGTCTCCCTTCTTCATCTGCATCAAAAGCTCTAGCACAACAGGCAAAGAATGGTTGTAGAATACGTCGATCAACGTCATGACTACTCTGAAAATGATAGAAAATGAAATTAGAGTAAACTGAAGGCATGGCATAGGAAATTTAGAATACATATACAGCCATAAAACATTCGGCTAAAAATTCAGTCAGACGAAATTTAATGACACCGTATATATAGAAATCAAAAGAGTTCCAAGAATTTAAGGTTGAACTCTGTGATTCAGTAGTCATTATATGACAGCTTGAGGTTATGTCAAGATACCGAAAATGTGGGATATTCAAGCACTGGCTTCAAATGAAAAAGACTTTATCACCTGTGTATGTTAACTCAGGTGTAAAAGATCAATCCCTTAGTTGCGTTTTACGGAGAACACTTGTATGTTCTTAGTCTGTATTCTTTACATTGGCTTGCGTAACACTCCTATACTTTCGGAAGAAGACAATACACTGATACAAATTTGTAACGATTGCAATAAAAACACCATAAAACCAAAAGTTAATTAATGAATACCCTTACAAAGTCAAAACTGAAAAAAAAGTATCAGAGCTTACAATAAAAGATTTCCAAGTGTCTTCCATAGGTTGCATAGCTATTCTCATTTGTCTACGTGCTGTAAAAACCTCTCCCAATTCAGTTAACAACATTGCCTTGAAGCTGATAGCTGAACCAGTATAAAGTAAAGATGTTCTAGAAAGTTGTGTAAAAGTGACCACGGAAACAAACAAACTGCATTAAGAATACTTTAAACATTGGTTTATCACTCAGAAAATTCAACGAAAAGTACTTACTGAGAAAAAAATGTCACTTTCTTATTCCTATTCCTCATTCTTATATGAATGTATTACAGTTATAAGAATGCAAATAATATAATTAATCTCTTTGATATTGTACGATCATTTACCACATTACTATATAAGTCAACCAAGTGATAACAACGCAGTACCTGACAATACTGAATAACGGTCAAAGTTGTCACACTTCACACAAGGATATCAAGTAGGATATGAAACAGCATGATAAATCATAAGAGGCAATGTGGAGATAAAAACGAGAAGAGAGGGAAGAGTAAATCATAAAATGTAGCATGACGATTGGGCTGAAGATAACATGTGAACGCATCTATAGTTTTAAGATCGATCCCAAGGTTACATCACCTAGAGTCTCAAACCACCAATTTCGACTGTCATCCGAACTCCCATAGAGAAGTTTACATTCTCCCCAAACCGACAGTCAAAGATTTCATGAAGTGACGTAGTGTTTTAGTCTGATTGCCTTTAACCCTTTTCCAGCCTAAGCCTACTTCGACTAACATCACAGGTTAAGGTAGATGGTAACTGAGTAAGCGTAACACATGTCCCAGCCACCTGAGTTAATAATGATTTACGAATTCATCAACCGACTCTTTTGCCGAAGAGGCTACATTTCGTTTTCGTATTGCTTCCTTAGTGCTCCTAGTAATCGGACACCTTAAGCCTCTTATATCCTCTGCCGTTGATGGACATTTTTCACAGCCAAAGATGGAAGAAATATTTAAAAAATAAAACGAATATATGCAAGGAGAATTTTTAAAAATGCGGAAGTCACGTAAGAGGTATTCAAAAGCTTTCGTTGCTTTTGTATTACTGTACAAAAGTCAATCAGTCAAAATCAACATGGGACTTGACGTTACTGCGTAACTGTCCATTTTGCTACGCTTCATACCAGCACATCAAGCAAGAATGCACCGAGATGAAAGATTAAGAAATGGAGATGTAGTATTAGAAAGTCGTGAAAAGATAACAAGAAAGAATAAGACAATAATGTTATTCCGAATGACGATTCAGAAGAAGACGATGTGTAAATACACCTGCAAGACTGCAGTCGATTCTGAGTCATCACTTTCCAAAAAGATATACAAAGAAACTGAAACAGGACTGCCAATGATTTTCATTCCGAGGTGTAGTTTGAAATATCTCAAGTTGCTACGTCGTATGAATTTTCAGGTGATGCACCTAAGTTTACCAGTTCTATGCACTATAACTTAACAAACTGACCACTGCCCACCTTATTCAGTGCAAAAAAATGGCCGGTAAGGATTTTGGTACGATAGCATATATTACACATGTCCTAACCTGCGAGGGTGGTGCTTGAAGATAATTTTGACCATTGGACAATGATCTCAACTATTCCTACAAGCACACAACAGAACCTACCTAAATACTGTTACTGTCGTATACCAGCAATCTCAGGCACATAGCGATGATGAAACAGGCCGGACTCCAGTGGCTGAGTTTCATAAGTGTAGAGTAGAGCCGTCAGAGATACGCGCACGATGAATTTCGCTGATATTCACCGCAGAAGTTCTGTACAGGACACGTTTTCCAGCTAGCTAAACGTTGCGATGACAACTCATGTCCATTTGATTAATTAGGATATTTCTCTTTTGGTAATGACTTAGTAGGAATGAAATTTGACTGCTAATCCAAAAAACATCCCTTCACTTCTTTAACTTCCCATAAGTGAATATTAATATTAACACTTAACGTATAAGCAATGTCAATATTGAATAAGTGGACTTATTTTCGGTAACATTTTTGTTAGTTCTGCTGGTTCATATTTTTATGAAGACACTGCCTAAACAAAAATTTTTAAAATATTACTTACACTCCACCGATTCTGAATAGTTATGTCGCTGATGCAAACTAGAGAACTAGTGAACTGCCTACTACACTTAAAACGTAAAGGCTCATGAGACTATTTAATTGCACGTATCGGAGTAATCGGAACAGGTTTGAATCCATGGCAATCAAGTAGGTTATACACATAAATCAAACAATAAATATGTCTAAAAGTAATAAAAATGGTGCAAATCACTAACCTGAATCCACTTCGATTCATATTTGGGCTACTTTGAAAACTTGCTACTAGCATATCGATCAAACTGCTACCCAACCCAGAGGCAATCAGCCAATCAATCGCTTCTGCGAGCCAACTAAGCCATCCTCCAGCGTCAATACTAGCCATTTTGTCTGTTACATTACCAGAATTACCTTGTGTTGTAGGATAGCAAAGTTCACTATCTAATTCTTTTACAATTGGATCTAAATTCTCACGTACCTTAGCCAGTAACTGAGAATGCATCTGAATTAGAAATGATAAAAGAATAGCTTATGTGGTTTTAATATTAATCTGCGAGTAATTCAAGGAAAATAGGATTTATTTTGCAAAATTTCATGGAAAAGATTTGTTTAACTCGAAAAAATGCCATCATGAAAAGGTTAAAAGATTTTCTAGTTAGAGCGGCATGTCTTGAAATAATGCGCAGTTTTATTCGATTTAATTTACTCCAACTCCCGATTCTTTCAATTTGTCTGTTGAACTGAGTTGTACACTAATGAATGCATCTTTGGATTGCAAAGTAAAATATGATGGAAAAACCAGAATATTTAGGATAACTTATGTTTATGAACGGGAATATTCTGTGAATACTATACACATACAGAAGAAAGACAAATTATTGGAGTTTTAATAAGAGTTATGGAAACAAAACACTAAAGTGTTTAAATAGGTGGATTTACCTAAATCAGTAACCAAAGTATGTGATCATTTATTCTACATGAGTTTTGAAAATATCAGATGCTATAAACAAACAAGCGCGACAGTTAACTCATAAACCAGTAGGAGAAACAATAAAAACGCAGATTCTTTTGTATAACTGTGAAATATTTGCAGTCACAAAGTTGGTTTTGATCAAACAACTTAGCTCATGATGTTTATTAACCAACTAAATAGCTTATGTTGCTCTTATTGGAAGTTACAAACTTAAGAGAAAGTAATCATCCCCCTGTGGTTACTCACGATGATGCAAATCGAAGGATAAATTAAACTAAGAAATAAAGACAGTCCTTGATCTCCAGCTACTGTATTATGTCCAATTCAAAGACAACCTGTTTCGTCAGAATACGTTATTCCACCAAATAGCTTAATAGCACCCCGTTGATATACGTTTGAGAATTATAAATACATAAAGGATGATGATATTAACAATCCTTAGAAAGCTTTCCAGTTACGATATCAATTGAACAGATCTCAGTATTGCTTTCGGTTGGAAAACAGCACATGTATGAACACCCAACCTAATATTATCGAACAAGACTGTTCGTATCAAAAATTTACACAGTAGGAACACCACCTCATATTCTAGTTCTCATATAAAGAAAACGTGGGCGATACAACAAATAATATACCTGGATGTATGAAGTTCGCAAGCGTTCCGCTTTAGCACACAGATCTCTATCAACACGAGGATCAAGTCCTTCTAGGCTAAAGTCTTCACTTTTCTCAGTATGTACTGAAACAATGGAACATGATGTACCTTGCAGCAAAGGTGGCCTATTTGGCAGTACAGGCAAAGGTTCATCTAGTATTGGGACCTGCTGCGTTTGAATCAACCAATGTAAATTCGTTATTGCATGAAGCCGTTGACTCCAATCAGCGAGAATACCGTGATGTCTCTCAAAGCTGTCAGCTGAACGTAAAACATCTCTGTAGCAGTCAGCAGCCTGAACGAGCTAAAAATGTGAACATAAAACAGAAAATGAATTCAGTACGATCTTCATATCAGTCCCACCAAAATGTCAAACTTATCTCATTAACTTAAAAAGTTTCAACATTTTGTATGGAGACATACATCTTAATGAAACGAAGTTAACAAAAGATCAACTCAAATGAATTCAAACTACCCTTAGAAAATTGAATAAACTAAATATTTAAAAATAAGAACAAACACATGAATGCATTAAAAAAAGAAAAAGAAATTTGAAAATTATCGAAATAGCGACTTTAAAATTAGCAACGGTTTCTTTCATCGATAACTTTCACATTTAAAGGGCATTTATACAATTTGGTAGAACTGATTAATAAATATTCTTCCCCGTATTTTCTTGTTAGCTTCAATATTCACAATAACCATTTTATTCATCACCAAGAAAATTAGCTTACTTGTTAGAGATTAGACAAGAAATTCACTGCTTCTAAGTGTAAATTAACGTATTCGCAACAAATTATACATGTAGGTGAATAAAATCTTCGATACTGATTTCTAAGATAGCCAGTGTTCATGATAAATAAGTTCAAAACCCGATAGACAGATAGACTCACCTCTACTTTGTACTATCGTTTTCACAAACAAAGCAATATTGACGGAAAATTAAAATTATGAAAAAATTCATGAGTGGAAAACAACAGATCACGGGAATCTTGGATGTATTCAGAGAAAAAGTAACTATCCGTGCAGCTTTTTCGTTTCCTTCATCGATCATTAATATCATTATTATCAGAGCAAAAAATTGGCACACCTTGGGCACCAAAATATGCACCATACAAAATAATAAAGCAACAACACGAAGGCATAGAACGGAATAGAGAATGCAACCGAAGACAAAAGTGTGTTGTTAAAGAAGTAATCCAAAGATTCCTTCAAAGAAGCATTCACCATTTTAGTCTACTTAAAATTTAAAAAGAAATAAGGAAACTACTGTATGGTAATCACTTGTTTCACCTTTAAGTTCTTTCTACTACCTTCTCAAGCCATTGAGTTACATGATCTGACACAATTATCATTCATTCCACAGGACCACATAACACATAGGCAACCCTACCCGCTTCTCCCAACCAGTTTCATGGCAAGCAAACTGTGAGCACTATGGAAGTCGCTAATATGATATGCTTAAAACACGTCTGAGCTAATGAATCCGATATTTCGAGGTAGCCACACACAGTTAACAAGGATCTTCATCTCACTCAATTAAATACCAACTCATTTCAGAATTACTTGCACTGTTTCTCCACAGCATGTGAGCAATTCTGTGAAGATTACGGTGGTTAAACATGCAGAGTCCTCAAACATCTTCAGTTCAGACAGGCAAAGTTTTACAGGTGTGTAGGTCAAAACTGACGGCACGAATGCATTGTATATCCGACCCTTTATTATTAAGATGAACAACATAAGAACACCATATGGCCCTATTTCGATCTAGCTTTCAATATACAGTTGGAAATTTCATTAGTCATATCTCCGCTACCGATCGAACAAATACTCAAGTACACAAACGTCTTGACAACATGCAGAAATTTACCACCAAAGATAGATGCAGGTACAAGCTGTTGCCAATCGTGTGGAAGGGCTTTGCAGTTTAGTGGCACGAAGCATATGTCGTACTTAGGCTCGCTGATCGCTTAGTGACTGAGTAGACTGCATGTTGTCATACAGTAAAACGAGACTGTCTGCGTACTCGAGGTTACAAGGTTTTTCACATGTTAGCAGATCAATATCAACATGCATTTCATTCACAGCCGGCTATTTCAAAAATATCACCGATGACATAGTGAGAGAGGCAAGGTGAAGTTGAGCAGTCCCTGGTGGCTTGGAACAATCGAGATAGGTCTTTGTATGCCTTCATTCTACCTTTGGTGTTGAAGCATAAAGCTTCCATTGAAAAGGAGGTTGAATATCCCATGAAGCAGTTTTGAAACTTATCAAAATAATTTTTGTGAAGCGCTTTACAAATATTTGAGTAAACCGATGCATCAAGTTAGGGTTATCCTGAGAACTTGCACAAAGAACCTTGTTTTATGGCATAAAGCGTCAAATTATTTTAGCGTAAGAACGTTTGACTTGCACTGTGAGCCACACAATTACTTACAAATCATTCTTTGCATACAGGGACAACAAGTATGTCACTTGAATACGTTAGACAATGAATTAAACAGTTCCACCTCCCTAAAAAGCAGATAGTATCTTTCATATTTTATGTTTAGAGTTAAAATCTATGTTGGTGGCACCAAACCACTATCTTTTATGTCCCTCTTATAGTCACCAGTAACTTAGAAAACAACATATTTGGCGAATTTTATGACATTTGGTATAAGTAATAAAGTTTTCCAGCATTTGTTTGACTTCTGGGATAAAAAGGCAGTACACATATAGCTTGGACCACGAATCGAACCAACAACATAGGGGTAGCAACGAACATTTGTAGGATGAATAGCTAGGTGGCGTCAAAAATTGAGTTCATTAAGTAACCAATAGGTTCCCCCCCCCCCATTGAACATATGACTATCTTCATATCTATCCAAATTCAAGCACAAAATGTTAGGTAATTAACATCCAGTGTAAGATGGAGCAGACTTTTAACGGAGGAGCATTACTACTGAAAGGCCAAAGTGGAGTCTGCTACAGTATTAATTTAACAGAAAATGTTTACAAAACCACAAAACGTTAACTTAAAATACACTGATTTTGATATATTTCACCAACCTGATTCTTGATAATGAAACAACCAGCAGCACCATTTTTATTGAATACCCAAGTACGCAAGAGTCCCTCGCACTCTCTTCGAGTCTCATCAACAACTCGTCGTATAACTTCAGTCATTGTGAAACACCTACATCAGTTGTAAAATATCATAAGAAAAGGAAGAAAAGAGATAAATGAAACAATGATATGTGGTATTACTGTTTATAGGATATGACGTAGCTGTATCCATGTAACTGTTACCGACTCTGAGCTATAAAGTTTTTAAAACATTTACTGCAAAAACTTAAATCAAAAAACCAACATTTTGATACCCAACTGACAAAACTAGTCGATGAGTTCATAAGTTACTGCCACGTTTTAGTCTAACTATCTAAAGCTTTGTTTCTACCTAATTCTACACCAGCTAAAACTGAGCGCTGTGACAATTAGTCGACAAAAGTAGATATCTGAGCCACATGAGTTCACGAAAACTAGTAACATCATGAATCGACTTGCCCCCCTTAATTAATACCGTAAAAATAACTTCTACATTGTTCACAAGATAATTAAACAGAACTAGAGCGATGTCACAAACACGACAGCAATCAAAAGATATATAAAATTAGATAGTTTGTATATATGTGAGTCACAGCATGTTTGAACACGCTGACTCATAGAAATACAAACTATGTCTAATGCCGACTGTCTACTCAGCGCACAGTATTTGCGATACTATTCGCTCATCGCGCCCCAGTGGCTTAGTGGATAACGATCTGGCGTTTAAAGCGAAGGGTGCTGGGTTAGAGCAGCAGTAGGAACAACATCACTCGCTGCAATACAGGCACATCCAGATGGTGATTCCCAAATAGGACGAAACGCACGTCCTAGATTCCTCTGCCAGTCACCAAGATCAGTATGAAATCTTGATCATTGTTCATAAAAAAGATATGTGATTCACACAAACCCTATATCTTTAATAATCACCCCTTACAAATCTCTAAAACCAAGCAATAGTGATGTAGATTTCAGACTTATCTGTTAGTTAGTTAAAGTTGAACACTGAAATAAAAGTTTTGACCCAAGATTAATTCTTGAGGCGGGGATGATTTATAGCATAATGCAGCTCTATTTGTGTCTGCTTATAAGATGTGCTATGAGACTAGTGTTTACCCACTGTTTCAGGCACAAATCAAGTCTCATAATCACACCGAGATAATGATAACTATGAGAACTAATTTTTCAAAGTAATAACGCTTACATTCCCTTAGTCAATGTGGTAACATAACCTTTCGGAAAATGGAATGTACTGAGAAATCAGATCTCATATTTGTGATTAACTTAAGATGAATACGAGATATTAATTATTCGTGACATATCAATGAACTGAAAACTACGTTGCATCTATTGGATTGGGTCTTATGGAATACTTTTATTAACCTGAAGATATTAGTCATGATATGTTGAGAAAAAAAAGCGATTTGAGTGACCCAGTAGCCCAGTGAATGACTTTCTGACTTTTGATTAAATGGGTTCTAGGTTTGAGACTCACTGAAGACAAAATGCCGCTCACTGGCAACCAGGGTCATCCAACTGACGATTCCTAATTGGGACGAAACCCGTGTCTTGTATCCCACTGCTCGTCACCATTGATCATTACTACCAAAAAGGAATAATTTATCTAAAGGCTTACCCGGTGCCCAAATTACGATGGGCACGTGCATCAGCTACGCTTGGGGCATGATTCATTTTTCCTGAATAACTTTCCATATTATTACAATCTTGATCATCATCGTTGAGGTCTACACGTACCATGTTCGGCATCATTTCAGAATTCCGTAATCCATTTGCACGTCGTTCTCGATTTCTATCACCACGGTTACCTGCATGTGACCCACCAGTAGCCACAACAAGACTGGGATGTGTGCATGCTTGACGAAGCCGAGTAATTAAATAAACCAAACGACAGTGTGCAGCTGTAGGTAAACTGCAAAGTAACTCATCAGGTGAAATTGACATGGTCTGAACCAAACGCTCCAATGCCCCAGCTGATTGAGCCAAGACGCGATCATGTATATATCGTTCAACAGGAGTAAATGCAATCCTTAAAACATGAAAAAATGATATGACACTCAGAATTCACGCTTAATAACAGATACTAAGGAAGAAACTAGTATACGCAAACTTCAAGAAAACCAAGAACAAAACAAATAGTAAGTCAAACTATTTATAAAAAACAGAGGCTTGTTGAACATTAGCTACTAAGTTTTTGAAGTAACAAAAAATGAGGAGACAGTTGCTCTGTTAAGCCCAGTGATAAACAAAATTAACCATAACATTGAAAGATGAACCTCATTTGCAGCTATTTGTAACCGCGAACTAATAACATTGTCATAACAACAAGATAGATTGTGATTACGCAAATGAAATAAGTAGGAGAGTATTTTGAATAACGGAAGCTATAAATTATTCTTGATACATTGAAAATTCCCATTTAGACATTTAAAAATAGAACCTGTCGAGCGGAGAAATATATTCCCTTTCAAATGAAAAGGAAACATTCATAAGAAGTGGTTAAGTAAGGTTCATCGATGTTTCAGCACTTTCAAAAAATGAATTACACAGGTGCCAATTCAGTCAGGAAATTTACGTATGTTTCATGCTTTAAATTGTGAAAACCAATAAGGCGTAGTGATGTTTTTTCATAAATCACATATGGAAGAAGAGAACGATATGGCCTGTAGCATTGGGAAACTATACTAATAAGTAGCTTTTTACAACAATATGAGAAATCAATCGAATCATTAGAAATCTCAAACAATCAGTAAATCTTTCGAGAATTCAATTTCAATAAAAATAAACCAGACTACGCATATCCTGAAGATAATCAGAAATGTAACTTAACCTAATTCACGATTATTTACTAAATAGTAGGTCACACAAATTGTGTACAGAATTCTAATACTGACGGTCAGCCAGGACCAAGTAGGTAGAGTGACACTTTAATGTAGGAGCAATTACTTGAAAGCCGGTCGCTTAACACAGTGAGGTACACCCTGAACATTACAAGTTGAGTAATTTACACAAGTGTGCACCAGTATACGTCAGTTCAACTTACCAGTGAATTTCCTCGGTAAGTGAAGGTATAGCAAGTTGGTCACCTACAAGTGCCTTGGTATTTCTCCACAAAAGTCGACTAATGATCTTTCCTAAATCCGTGCTAGCAACAAGCGACTCATTCAATGAATGATTCATAGTAGGTTTGATATCATCTCCAGATTCATGTTGATCAGTACATGAAGAGTTAGAGCACGTGGCCAAGAATGGTTGATACAGCAAACTATTCCAGTAATGTGAAAATGAATACGGTGTAACTCGGAGGTAAGCAAGTAAACCGAAAAAATCTACAAGTATAAAAACAGTAAAAATTAATCACTTGTAATTTGTATGGTTTATAAGGATTGATTGATTTCAAGGCTGTTTTACTCAGTTGGAGAACAGTAAAAAAAATGGGAGCACTAGAAAGCTATTTTGTCCCAGTTTGCAATGCCATAGTAGCAAGCACCGATGATTCAGTGAGGAATCAAGTCCATGGACAGTCAGGTCTTGGAGTGTTCAGTCGCTGAGTTGAGATTGAATGGTTCACATTTTCCCAATTCCTTATGTCAACTCACGATTGACACAACCTAGTTATGTGTATGTCAGTAGACGCTTGAAAAATAACCTAAAGAACGTACCCTTAATGCTCGTTCAATGCGTTGGTAAACTGAAAAGGTGGTTAGATAACACGTGGATTTCAATGTCAAAATATGTACAAAATAATACAACGATTTATATATGTTTACTATGGCCTCAACTATTTTCAGGTTTTTCTAGAAGCGCATATCCTTTTGATTTTATCTCCTTAACTCATCTCGTATTTACACGCATGTTCGCGCATGTTCTCTAGACCTCTAAATAAAACGATCGGTTGTGAAAGGCTTCAGAGATTTAGGGCTTCTTAAGAGGATAGGAGAAGTCTTATTGCACACCATAACAGCGATATCGCATGACGATTGTCGAGTGCCAAAGGTGGGTATTTCTTCTCATGCTCAACTTCCGATGAGAAGTTGCAGTCAGTAGAGTCAACAAAATTGGGTGTGGGAAACAACACTTGCCAACAGAGCTGGATGACAGTCACTCTATGCCGTGAATTGATAAAAGTAGGAAGTAGTGAACCACTGGACTTTAACCGAGTGGCTGAATGGTAACTTGCTGACTGCGAGACTTGATGGCCCTGAGTTCAACTCCTCAAGGGGTTATGAGTGTGCACTGCTGTGGAATTGTAAACAGGAACAAAACAACTTTCTGATGTTTCCCATGTTTTCAATGGCTCTTCAACTCATGTCAATTGGTAATGAATACCACCTTAAAATCATTTCCCTGCAAATTAAATAAACTGAAGAGATTATCGTGAACTTTCTTCGGATAAAGCAAACTGACTTGATTTCAGGAAATTAAACTAGAAAATACATAGCAAAATACTGGACGAAGCTTCATATGATAAGAAACAAACAACTTCGGGATGAATTAAATTCGTAGCTCAATAAAACAAATGTGGATATTCATATGTGACTCTTAGGAGTAACTAGCTTACCAGATGTATACTGACAAGTAATTAGTAATTAAATTCAAAATACATTCGAGCATACTCACCTTTAAATGAAGTGTTACTACCGACCGCATCATTTACTACTCAGTTAACAGGTTACAGACGCTCAAATCCTTCGTAGTTATAGAGGTTTAAAAGGTCATTTAGCAACAGTAGTCTCTATACAATAGGTGTGGCTTACAGGCACACACAGCTGTACGCCATTATATATATATATATATATATATATATATATATATATATATATATATATATATATATATATATATATGTATATATATATATATATATATATATATATATGTATATATATATGTTCTTAACCCAACTTGGAGATTCAATGACTGCTACAATACTCAAATTTCAAGACTGAAATATCCATGACGTTACAATAGAACTAACTGTTTCAAGGAAACCGGTATGAAAATTACTCACAAAACTTTTAATTTATCCATCAAACTAAACTTGAATAAAGATTATATTCTCACAAAAAGAACTCGTCACTAAATGTTCAACTTTATCTAGATTTGATAAGTCTGTAGTTCTCAGATGTACAAAAAGCAAACGGGACCTAAAATGCTGCTACGTCAGAATTACATGAACCTCAGTCATCATCTTTTATGTAAGCATAAAAGGATAGGGAGTAAAAATGGAGTTTGAGAGAAATTAAAGACACACGGATTTTATGCACATGGATGGAGCGAAGGAGTTAATTACGTTACACTAGTTTTACTATGGAAACAAGTTGTGGCGCAATAAAAGACTTAAACTGCGAAGAAATCTTCTACTGTGTTGTCAGTCAGTCAATAGGCAATAACAGTATTACGTAGACGTCCAAATTACGACATCTAGTATCAGTACATCCAGATATGAGATTATTACTTGTCCTTTGGGTCCCAAGAGGAACATAGGGCTTCAGTAGCACGTCACCATTCCACTCTGTCCTCTGCAGCCTTTCGGACCTGGCTTCACGACTGCCAACAAGCTTTCATTTCTTCCTCACATGATCTCCTCAATGTCACCGTCAGACGCCCAACTCGTCGTATCCTCTTTGGATTCCACTCGACGGCCTGTCCTGGCACGTGATGTCCCCGAATGACCTTCTCAGTGTACGCCTAACCCAATAAATCTGCAACTTCTTCTGCATATTCGTTGGGCGATGGATTCTTGGTTGGTTCGTTGCCAGACTGGGTTCCTTGTCGCTTATTCTTCTTATTCTGGCCATCTGATCTTCAGTATTGAGCGAGCGTAGGCGGCAGGTGTTGATGAATGTCTGCAGTTGGTTGGAAATGCTTTTCGTAACGCGCCAAGTCTCTCAACTATATAGAAGCACTGACTTGACTAGCATTAGTGTTGAAAATCCGGATCTTTTTCACACTTTATGCTGAGCGCAGTAGATCTCCACACTGGTTTCAGATTGATGAAGGCCCGTCCTTCTGTCTTTCCGATCCTGGCCTTGACGTCCTCATCTGCACTGCCTGTAGTTGAAACGATGCTGCCTAGGTAGGTGAATGGAACTACTTCCTTTAGGTTTCTCTTATTGATGGTGATTGGTGCCTGTTGTTGTTGTTGTTGTTGGTTGGGTATCCTCATCACCTGTGTATTCTCTACGTTCACTTGAAGGAAGCCCTGTTTCCGCTGCCCCTCCTCTTCTGTCAACTTGTTGGATTTTGCCTGTAGATCTTCGAGCTTGTGCGACAAGACATAAGACATAAATCATCATCATCATCATCATCGGCGGCGGCGTTGGCGGTGGCGAAATCCAAATCTACTAGGATCTTTTCATCGATCCAGTCAGTGTATGCCCATCTTCTTGCTCCTCACGGTTCATTGCATGATCCAGTCAACCACAATCAGGAAGATGATTCGTGAAGGTAGACGGCAGCTTTGTCTTACTCCTGTCTTCACTCCAAAGGCATCACTGAGCTTTCCATTGTGAGTCATTTGGCATGTAGCATCATACAGCATGTAGCTATTGAATGAGGTTGATAAAGGTTTGTGGCACTAAAACCGTAGTTTTGAAGCAGCTGCCTGCCAAATTACTTCTCGGTTGACGCTGTCGAAGGCCTTTTCAAAATTGATGAAGTTCAGGTAGAGGGTTGACTGCCATTCTATGCTCTGTTCTATGTTGATTCGTAGCGTAGCGTTGCAATTTGATCCGCACTTCCTGAATCCAGCCAGCCAACCTGTTCTGGTCGAAATTTTGAATCCAGCGCATCTTTCAGTCTCTTAATATTGTGCTTAGGGTGGACAGGAGCATGATTCCGCTACAGTTCTTACGAAGACCTAGGTCTCCTTTCTTTAAAGGTTTGACAAGGTAGCCCTTCTTCCACTCGGCAGGTACCTTTCCTTCCTTCCAGACCCTCTGCAGTAGTGGTGTGAGCGTGTCTGCTTATGCGTTTGCGTCAGTTTTCAGTGCTTCTGGCGGAATTCCATCTGGTTCTCCTTCTTTCCCGTATCGCAGCATATTTATGGCGTTCAGCATATCACTACTGCTTTTGTTGGATGGTTTATGTTCGCTTGTATTCCTGTGGCTGGGCTGCTGATGGCTTTGGTTGACGAGTTGCAGGTGGTGATGATGGAGGTGGTTAATTCAAGAGTTTTTTGAAGTGGTCATCACATTGGTTCTTTTGTTTCTTCTCTTTGGTAATTAGGTTTCCCTCACTATCTCTCATTGGTTTCATCTGAGTTGATCTCTTCCCTCCCAGATAGTAGCCTACTTATTTGATATAGTGTTATCAGGTCTCTATCTCTCCTGCCATCAGCCTGTTCGCCTTCACTTGCCACTGTGTTGTAGAAGTATCTGTTGTCTTTGCGCGCACTCTTCTTCACCTCTTTGTCAAGTGTAGTGTTTTACACGTTGTGCTCAGTTCCTCTTCTCGTTGTTCATCCTTGCACTGTACTGGTTCATCTTCTGCTTCACCATCACCTCCTTCCTCTCCCTGCTCTATCAGCTTCCATGTGTCCACCGACATCCATTCCTTGTCCTGTCTTCTTTCTTCTTCCTTCCTAACATGGTTGTGCAGGTTTCTTTTCACATCTCTTTCAAAGAGCTCCATTGTTTCTACACGCAGGTTGCTTCGAGGATGTTGCTTAATATCTCCCATTTTGTACTGGTGACTGACCGACGTGAAGATGTCCTTGGTAGTTTCGTCCTTCACTTCAGTTTCTGGGTGGGCGTTAAACTTGAACCGTGGTCTATCACCAGCTTCTTTGAAGACTTTCAACTTGATTTCGAAGGCAAGTTCCTTGCACTGGATAGTGAGTGATGTGAACCTACATCTGTTTCCTTTCTTGATCTTGTGTCCAGTAGGCTGGATGCGTCTCCACTTTCTTCATATTGAAATGAAGTCGATCTGATTTTTAGTGTGTCCATGTCGTGAAATCAAATCCATGTCGCCTTGTGAATATCCTTGTGTTTGTACACACTACCTTCAATCACCAAATCGTTGAATGTGCAGAAGTCTGCAAACATTTCTTCATTCTCATTCATTTCACCGAGTGCCTCTCGACTCATGATTGGTTCTTCTCCTATGTTGTCTTCTCCCGGTTTGGCATTCATGTCATCCCACCCATTACAATTTTGATGTCGCCAACTGGAGTCTTGTCCAGTAGTGATTGCAGTTGTCTGTAAAGTTCCTTCTTCTTCTCTTGATCTGTATTATTTGTAGGTGCATAGTGTAGCATTGTATGATTGTGACCTTCCTTCGTTTTGAGTTGAATCTTGGTGTCATGATCCTGATACTGGAGGAGAGCGGTTCCCACTGCATGACAGAGAGCCTACGATGCTGTTGGAGATATCATGATAGCCACTCGAAAACTCAGTGTGCTCGTGGTTGTTATCTGAGTGACAATATCGGAGTGGATTATTGACTCCTCTCCAGTTGACGGTTGAGAGAGTCCGCATCCATTCCATCTGCTTTTGCAGATTCCTAGCACTTCTATGCTATACCTTCTCATCTCTTTTACAATCTGGGCAGCCTTGATAGGTTCATACGTGGTGCGGACATTCCATATCCTTATGCTTACTTTCGCTCTCATCGAAAGAAGACACACCGGTCAATTGCCTTCCCGAAAGCTTTCACCAACTGGCGTCATTTCATCTTTCCGATTTCAGCGAGAAATAAGTTTGTTTTTACTTTTTATATTTTCTTTGCGCTTTGAAGTTTCTTTAGTGGTTAGACTGGGTTTACGGGGTGGGGTTGCTAGCCCTACTCCCAACCTTCCCTCTTTATTCGGGCTTAGGACCGGCTAGTAACTAGTGAACTAGTTAACCAGGCGAGGTTCCAGATACGAGATAGTCGGATAAAATATGTAGAAATAGGGAAGAAAGTAAACAAAAGTGGTAAGAAGTCATCAAACGAGAGAAAGGGACAGAATAATAACGAAATTCAGTTTGATGGCTAATGTGAGGGAAATGTATGGATGCGTTTGCGTTCACTGAAATTGATCCTGAGTTAAATCAACCTAGACTTTCAAACTACTGATTTTCGTTTTCGTTTGAACCCTAACCAGAAAGTTTACATTTCCCCACCAGCAAACGACTCACCTCAAAAATCAGGAACTTTATGGACTCATGTCACATATTGTGAGATGGAGTGGATGGTGAATAGGTATGCATTACACATGTCCCAGTCACCCAAGTCGATGAAGGTTTACGACCCAATCTTTCAACTAAAACTCTATATCTGGCTTCTGCGTTACTGGATGTGGTTGTTTTATTCCGCTGTAATTTTATCTGATATGGTTTGGGAAATAAGTTATCAAAACCAAATCATTTGCGTAACATGACTATCAGAAGTGGATTTATAATGCTAAGTATAATTAAAAACAATCATTATTAGAGGGATTACAACATACCATCTATACTCTTTTCGGCTGGTGTACCAGTAACACACCATCTGTTAACAGCTGTGATTTGTGAAAGCATGCGAGCAGTTTTAGATGTGACACGTTCTACCATTTGTGCTTCATCTAAACAAATCTGTGATATGTGCAAAGTTAAAATACAGGGTGAAATTATTTGGGAACCATTCAGGGTAAGTATTACAAAAACAACTCATCTTTATACGCATGAATGCATTAATTAATCGTTCTAAAACCATCTAATGTACTCAAGTACCCAGGGAGGTTATTGATTAGATAACTTCATCGCATAAAACAAGCAATACACTATCAAGTTAATTGGTTTTTATGATAAATATAAACCAAGCTAGGTATCAAAGCAGTTATGAGGAAGGGAAAATAGTAGGTATGTCATTTTATGATCAAAATGCATTGTTGTAAGCAATGTTTATAAGTGACTGACGACCTTGACTCGAAGGTCAGGGGGACAAATCTAGAGTTTGTACGCTGCCTGTTACGTGTCAAGCCCAACAGGGATTGTGCAGTAAACTTACACTTCAATGACATAATTTTGAATCGTCGAATAGACATTTTATATACGAGAAATCATCGTAACACAAACAGAATGGTAACAGATGTTATCCTGAGAAAATTTTGTTTCCTAATAATATTTATTATCAGTGGATGATATTATATGAGGGTTTACGATACGTTGTGGCTATCCAGGTCAAAGTAGGCGGAGTAGGATTTGAGCCCTACATCTATTGATCGACACTGATGAGCTACATTCCCATGTGCTGGAATTACATACGTTTGCTTTTAAATATTGCAACAGAAGTGTGGTGATGAAGGCATAGTACATCAGAGGTTAGGCAGCGAACACATTTCATAGATGACATATACACATGATTCGGAGATATTTTACTAAGAATATTTATTATAAATAAAGGTATCGAAATATGTAACATAAAAACCATTTGGACAGATTTAACGAAGGGTCGCGTACATAAAATACTGTCACTTATTTAGCTGGTCAACTAACATTCATTAATACCCTCTGGAAAGTATTTCAGAGATTTACCTGAACACATTTTATTCCGTAAATCTTATTCTTCTTGGTATGATGAAAACAATATACGGTACATGACATATGACATTTTTTGAAAGTCGAGTTGAAAAAAATGGTTTTTATTAACTTATCGTACTTGTAGGAAACGAAATGCTGTGATGCACACAACTCTAGAATTTACGCGTGATCTTATCAACCATTCTACTAGTTAAATCTATTTCTCAGTTGCCTCAGTAAAGATATCAATTTCAAGTAAATTGTAATTCTGATTCGGATTTTCAAAACACTTGCTAGGAAAGTGAAGGAATAAATATCAGCAACAGTAAAGGTGCTGTTACTAAACAGTTAAAAGCACAACAAGCGTATATAGAAATGCCAAATGAAAGGGTGTTACATAACATTTAGTTGAACCTAGTGGACTAGCGCATAGGGAACATTATCTGAAGAGTTCATTTTGAAATATAAACCTGATAAATATAATCAGACAAATGGAATAGCTAGAATTAATAAAATCCAGTGTCAGTCGAAACGATTCCGTATACTTATTGATATATTCCAGTTATACATACCTGAGAGATTGAACACTTGAACAATAACCTTCAGATTCCACCCTTGGTGGTCGCTCAGTTTCCCGGTAAACAGGAAAGGCAGTAATACAACAGGTGTATTTCAACCTCGAGATATGTACAAGCTGTAACGATTTACATATATTTACAATGGCACTGGCTATTTCAAGGCTTTTCTGGAAGGCTTTGCCCTATTGATTTCGTCTCTTCAATCAACCTTGTACTTATACGAGTTCACATGCTCTTTCTAGAAACTCCGAAGCAACACGATTGGTTGTAAAAAGCTTCAGAGATTTAAGACTTCTTGTGGATATCTGCGCAATCTTATCCTAGACTATAACACTTATTACAAAACAGAAATAGGGGAGATGGAATGCTGTTAAAGGCACCTGAAAGGTTGACATTTCCAACTTGTCCATATAGTGGAAAGTAGCAAAAACCTATTTCACTTAAAAACAGTTCTAAATCTTAACTTTTGACATAAGCGCACTGTCTGGAAGATTAAATGCAAAGAGTGAAGATAAATGAGTGGAAAATCACCACCTCTTATGGAGAAAATAATTATGCCACGATACTACACCTATCATTGGAATGAACTGAAATAATTTTAAAAAAGCCTGATAAAAACAGAAGAGTTATTTTTCATTATACAGTCATGTTTCGACATTAGTTTTCGGGAAATTTAAAGCAATATCATTCCATGATTGTTAATTCTTTGCTTGCTGAGTTCCAGTTTCGTGTTTCGCTCTTACACTTGCATCTTTTTATGCATATACCCTTGTACTACTTACCATTATGGAGTAGAGTAATTCACTTTTCGTAATATTACTTTATTCACAGTTTTATTTATTTCCGTTACATTCACGTTTTGTTCACCATTTCAATATTGTGGGATCTTGGTATCTTTCTCACTTTATGATTATGTTGTTGCCCCTTTGGCTTTTCCCCTGATACTATGTCTTACTTTGAACAAAAATTTATTTCATGCTTTTTCCTCACCCTGCGGATGATCCGTGCATTTTTCATGTGTTCTTCTTGTTTGCTTCGGATATAGCTCAACTGTTTATATTATTGACGTACTTCTGTTAGGATGCTTCTGTTGACGATAAGCTCACAGACACCTCATGATTCGAGGTTTATAGTTCAGTAGTCATTGTTATTTAGGAGCACAGTACTGTACTTCAGACAAATCCCGTGTTGTGAATTGTACGCCTAATTTATTTGTCGAAGAAACACCGGATTGTTTTAGTTCCAGATTTCTTGGGAAGAAATACACAACACGTGAATCTTCGTGTGCTCCTGGGCTAATCGCCGTCAATAGCCCCATAAAGGAAATATGCCAATAATATAAACAGTTGAGCTATATCCGAAGCAAACAAGAAGAACACATGAAAAATGCACGGATCATCCGCAGGGTGAGGAAAAAGCATGAAATAAATTTTTGTTCAAAGTAAGACATAGTATCAGGGGAAAAGCCAAAGGGGCAACAACATAATCATAAAGTGAGAAAGATACCAAGATCCCACAATATTGAAATGGTGAACAAAACGTGAATGTAACGGAAATAAATAAAACTGTGAATAAAGTAATATTACGAAAAGTGAATTACTCTACTCCATAATGGTAAGTAGTACAAGGGTATATGCATAAAAAGATGCAAATGTAAAAGCGAAACACGAAACTGGAACTCAGTAAGCAAAGAATTAACAGTGATAAATAGCTTTGAAAAGTGCATTCCTTCATATAATGAAATCAGAAACTGGTGAAGCAAAAGCTTAGAGGATTAAAACCAGTGCATCTTGAAAAATTCCTGAATTACATGGATTCAGTGGTTGAAGATTATCAAAAATTAAATTGGACATTAAGAAGATAAATATTGTGAGATGATATTGATGAGTAGTTTCTATACAATCTCATCACAACTAATATGACTTGCAATGATAAGTCATTCGTCAGTATTTGCAGTTATATGAAGTTAAAGAAAATATTGATATCCAGGTCCAATAGTCCAGGGTAGAGGTAGACAAAGGGTCATATCCATTATTTTCTGAAAACGTAACTGTGTGTGTGCGTTTGATTAATCCTAAGTGGTCCTATCAATTTTGCTAACTATGCATTGAAGTTATGTGAAGTAATTGGAAAACAGTCATTAATATTGATTCTGTGGCCAGTCATCACAGACAGTGCTGGAGTTTTGTTCAAGCTAATTACATTTCGTCTAGTCATGTAATTTGATAAATTTATTATTCGCTTGACTATCGAACTCACTTTCTGTACGGTTCCTCTGTTTTTAACTTCAAGGAAGTTTCCTCTTCCAGCAGCAATAATTAAAGAGTGAAATTCAGTTACCTCTACTTCACATTGCATCTCTACAAGTTTACCTGTAGTTGTGGAGACACTTATGTAGGCAGAACTAACAGAGTGATCCAACGCAGTCGCAAAGAACATGTACTCCAGTAGGAAACAGATCACACGACTAGGCCAGATGTACTTAACATGAATAGAAATCCGGCACTATCTATGATCAGATATTTATTGATGACTGGTCACAAAATCAATATCAACGACTGTTTTTCAACTGCTTCACATAACTTCAATGCATAGTCATTAAAGACGATAGAAGCACTTTGGATTCATCACACACACAAAAACTGTGTTCCGAAAATAATGTATTTGACCTTTTGTCTACCCTGGACCACTTGACTTAGCATAATGATTGGATATTAATATTTTCCTTAACTTCAGATAACGGCAAATACTATGGTGTAATTTATTGTTGTAAGCTATGTTAGATGGTGCGCGACTGTAGAGAAAGTATACATTGATATCATCTCACAATATTTGTCTTCTTAATGCCCAATTTAAATTCACAGAAGGAACACTGTTTTAAAATATCATATAACTCTTTCCCTTCACAAATTTAAATGGAGCAAGAACAACAGATTTAGTGAAATAGCATTGATCCATCTTATTTCGTGGTTTCTCATCAGCTGCTTACAACTTAAAACAATTTTAACATCAATTTATACATAAAGTTTGTATTCGCGAATCACTTTGATAGGAAATTGATGGCTTGAATTAAAGATAAATTTGTTCAAGTCTGTATCTAAAAGAGATCATAAAAGTCAACGCATACCTAAAAATACTTTGATTTCAAACAGTACTTGACAGGTTTAGATTAACACTTTTGAGCGCAAATGCATTGTTATTAGTACAGAAATATGATACATCTTCACGTTTTAACGTGGATTTGACAACTCACCATCGCAAAATTAAGTAGGAAAAGATATAATTAAGGGGCTAATATACACACGTAGATACAAAAAAGGTTTGTTGGAAATGCATTGTCTTTACAGCTGGGACCTGGCACATGCAATCACACTGATTCAACGAATGCTTTAGTAGTTAGGAAAATAGAACCACCTTCAAACTAATGGAAATGAACAAAGTCAGAGACGTAACTGAAGAGGTCTTAAGAAAATGACCAATTGTTTTTGAGAACAAAGACAATCTTTTCAAATTTTGTCTTGTAAGTAACTGCCGTTCATTACAAACCACCAAAATAGAATACTAAAGCAGAATTACTCCGAAAGCAACGAGTAACACTTGGTATAAACCAGGAATTACGCCACTTTGAGAAAGTAAGTTCTGATTTTTATGAAAATTCACTGGTTATTCAACAAACTATACTGCATAAAAACAAATATTTAACAACTAACTACCAGGAACTCAGAAAAAAGTTCTACGAATCCCAATTGCTGGTAACTACAGGCTTCTAACTTGGATAACAATAATTTTGTTGAGAATGGAAATTTCGAAAATTCTGATTGGATAAAGGGAATGCAAAAGGGCTAAAATTACCACCAATAGTAAAAAGTGTAAATTTCAAGGCCATCCACACTAAAATAACCAGTTACACTTCTTAATTTTCTAAAAAAACTGCAATTCCAAAAGAAATAGAGGAACTTATTGAGTTATCACGGTCGTTGCTAGGGCGACCTTTGGATTCACTATAGTAAAAATGAAATATACAGAAAACCTTACCCGCCACCATCGGACACAGGTAAGTGGACTAGGACGACACAAATATCGCTGAGCCACTCGCAACTTTGGTCTGTCTCCAAGGCCAGCTTGACGATCAGCAAAAACCTCAACCCAACCCAATTCACGTTGAACAACAGAATACGAAGTCAGAACAATGTCAGCACATGCTAACTGGGGGGGTTGAACAAACCCGGGGAGGATTGTTTCTTCACAAATTTTATTTTCCGAAACTACTTTTGTAGCAGTGTGGACACGAGGAGCAAAAGGATTTGTATTCCCCTGCTCTTTGACAGAACCACGAATCCCAAGTTCAACAGGTGTGACAGGAGCCTCCATACCTGCATAAATCTGAAACAGAAGTGATTACAATACTCATATGACACTGTTTGAACAATCCAAGAAGAAAGACATTTGCAGAATAAAATGAGCTCATTTTATTTCAGGGACCTTTCATCAGTTGCAAATAGCCTATAGTTGAAACGAAGTATTTTCGACAAATAATTAATAATTAAATAGGATTCAGTAACTGAAAATCACTATGACTTTATATTGTACAGTGAAGAAATCCAATGAGAAAATCAAACTTCTGCATAATAGGTATTTTTAGGTGAACAAATGATTACCACTCCAGAAGCCATATGATGTAATTTTGAATACGGTGACAAAAAATATAACATATACAAGTATTTATATCATTAAGCAATGTATGACGACTCATCATACTTTGTAATTACGCAAAGTAAATTTGATGAAGCTGCATCAGCGGTTAAGAGTTGGCTTTTCAGGATGAGATGTAAATAACAAATGAATAATCGAAAAAATCTCTACACAAAGTCAAGTATACTTCAAACTCCTTTATATCACGAAAAATCAAACAACACCATACTTTTCAAAGAGGACTACTTCTTATGAGTTTAATCGGAAAGAATCTGTTTGCACACATGATCAAACACTTTGAAAGTGACAGTTGAAAAGACTTAATGAAAATAAGACATTTTGGAGATCATGATGTGTATGAGAGAGTGGATGTTACGCTTTTACAGTAATTGCTGAAATATCCTTGAAAACTAAAATCTTGTCATCAACCTAAAAGATAGAGATAATCATATCCTTAAATCATATAGTAATATGATTATATTTAAATTCATAACATCGTTGTTAGTGCATGATGAACAGCCATCAATGCTACAGAAAATAACGTGTTATAAAAACGTCCCGCATAAAATATAACTAAATACAAAGAAAGACCAAAAAATATAATATTATCACTAGTAATTCAAAACTTATCAGAAAAGAATTTAAACTTCAAATGTATATATATTCATAGACGTACCAAAACGTGTAATACACTGGGTGATATATGCGTTTGTAGCTCTTCTTTCCACTGTTGCCAAATATGATCTGGTGAGATTATAAGCGTAGCTTTTGAATATATTCGAGTCTAAAAAGTTTAATACAAAATGAAAGTTATTCTAAAAGCCATGATCAGTCAGAACTACTAATAATGTATCGATGAAGAATCCAATATATACAGAATAATCAACTAACTAATCAATTAAGAAACAAAATAAGTGAAGTTAAACAAAATATATAGTGAGTTTCCTAAACTTTTATCTCAGGTATATACATAAAGTACATCAATAAGTTGACCACACACCATTCACAACTGAAATCCCAAATATAAAATCGGTTATATTTTAAACTTTGTCATATGGATGCAGTTATAAGTATTTTTAGGACAAGCACCAGTAATTATTCTGACAAAAATAGTGAAGTAAAACAAAAAAAAACACCATTCAAGTTATACTCACGTATCCATATCCATTCAAAGTAAAATTCAGGAATTCTCTTTCTTATGGATTTAAATACGGTGGTAAAGCATAATCAGTTATTATTATCCCTTAAATGTACGATAATAAAGAATAAAAACATCAACAAACTCCAAAAGAAAGAAAAGAAATGCCAATTGTTCATTGAATTGATTATCTTGAATGTTAAAACACAAATACTGAGTTTGTAATTCATGGTTACATAACTGGCAATTGGACTTAGCAATCCAATTTAAGAATGGATTATAGTAGGATTTCATCCCTTTGAAAGGTTTAAAATGGACGAGAACGAAAAGTATGCAAATCCAAAAAATAATGTAACATTTTATTGTCTCATTAGTTAAATACAAGGTATAATGAGTGAATGAATGAATGACTCAACTGTGGTGAATACTAAGGATATGATAGGCAGTAAGTAAGAATCCATTGGTTATCTTGTAACCATCGTTCTTACTTTCAATCAAGTGTACATTTTCAGGTAAATTCATGAAAAGCTTGTGCATTGTGTAATTGATTCGTTAATTAATTTATTATAAACATATGCCATGAAAATCTAAATATAACAGTGTTTTTAATTTTGATGATATTTCTAGCAAAATTACCGCCCATGATCAAGCCAATCATTAGAATTACTTTGTCCTCAAAAGACATGGTGAGTAGTCTTCAACCTTTTCAGTAAAACCTTTTGTGTATCAACAATTTATTCCTTACTGTCTATACCATCAAATGCATACTTACAAGTAAACAAATTCGGTTTAAATTTTTGTTTTTTTGAACATACACCAGTCTGACTCCTGCTTCATTACCAACTATTTCTACGAATACACTAAAAAACCCTTCAAAAGTACAATAGAACTCCCAAGCGTTTCTGCTAATACTTTTCAACTGTCCTATCCAATCCACAGGAATATCGCATTAACAGGTTACCTGGTTCTTAATTTTAAAAAGAGATCAGTACTCAAATTTTATTTAAAGACAGACACTAGTTTGCACGTATTTCAATTGAATGGGATAAATTTATTGTGTTCTACAAACTTCTCAACTCCTGTTCTCTACAAAACATCTGAGGTAACTAAACAAGCACGGTTGTTACAATCAATTGGGATACATAAAATCCACTGTTGCATCTTATTTAACAGTTCTGTTTTCTTAAGAAACGTTCTGGTCTTTTTGAAACCAAAAGATGAGTTTGAAATATGATTATGGGTGATCATAGAAGTGCTAATTACTTATCACTTTTTAGTATCTCATATTCAACCATAGGTGTTTTATCATCAAGCATGGTGAGATTATCACGACTAACTTAAAAACTATGAATATCCAGACAACATTTGTTACGAATATCCCAAATATGCCGAAATTAGTTAAACTAAGATTTCTTTTAATAAATTAAAAACTAGTCAAGTGATCTGTGTTTGTCGGCTGACTTCAATAAATTCGGAAATCTTAATTTTAGTTATGATCAGCTCATAGATTTGCTATTATGAAGTCTAGAAGTCAAACAGAATCTCTGAAAACGAACAACCATTAGTAATGCAAGTGGAATGGAGTATAAATCATTTACCATTCCTGAGATGGTAATGCAGTTCAGATTAACGTAAGTGTAATGTATTTTGGGATCAAAAACCAATGAATGAAAGTACCTAAACTATAGTTATTAATTTACAACTACTATGATGAAATGATGTAACATCTACAGATAAGCCAAATAACAAACTGTATTAACTGAATGAAATAGAACACAACACCTACTTATTTTATGGTAATATTCAGAGACATATCATAACGAAGAAAAAACCATCCTTGTTTTCTGTAACTATTAGAATTTATTCGCTAAGTTAGTTCTTTAGTCGCGAAGTCCATGAGAAAAAATTAATGTTCAATCATCGTCATAAATAAAGGACTTGTCAGTCAGTCAGTCAGTCGACAGCAACATGGGACCTTGAAATACTGAATAGTGGTTCAGGTTTCTGCGCTTCATATCAGCATATCAAAAGTAAGAGTTAAATACAAAAGGAATGTAATTAAAACGTGTACCGAATCACAACGCAGAAAGAAGAGGGGACTAAACAAACGACAATATGACGATTAGAATGTGCGGACTTATCTCTGACACATTGATTCTCTGCCACATCACTTAGTCTCTAACCAACAACTATGATTGTCGTGCGAACCTATATTTCTCACCACAGAGTAGACCAACAGTCAGAGATCTTATGGACTGGTGCCGCTTTTTAGCTTAGCCACTTTTAATTTTTTCAGGTTGAATCAACTTAATCTAAAATGCAAGATTACATTAGGATGGCACATGACATTGAATAATGAGATAAGAAATGAGAAATTATAACTAAATTACCTTGGTCCAACATTGTGGACATATATATCCTTCTTTTACTGGAAGGCGACTGATGTACGCTTTGGGATTATATTGGACGCATGTCGCATGCTGGCCAGGACCATTGCACAATGAACAGTAGACTACATCAAACTTTTCGGTTCCCTCAACACCACCACAACTACAGAGTAGTTGAGTGTTACCATCCTGCCCATGTATTATGTCCGAATCGTTTCTAGTGGTCTTCCAGTTCATTGCCTCAAGAGGTTTGTCCTCAAGTGTTCGTAAATGACCGCCTACTTTGTCCCAGTCATTTAACGGATGAGTAAGAATAAGGGAAATAACCTCCAACGTCTTGCCAAGACCCATTTCATCCGCCAAAATTCCACCAGAACTAGTGTACTCAATTGCAGGTAACTCCTTGGTGAATCTAGGATGAAAAACACTTCAATAAGTAGCGCAAAATACTATGACAGATCCTACCGAATGGGTAATGTAATGTACACACGTTCAGAAAAAGACAGGCAGGACATACAAATAAGTCAATAAAAAGTATCTTTTCCAACTAGTTGCTGCTCAACCTTTACGACCAAATAACTAGCTACTGAGATATCAAAATGAATATATATGACGGTGGTGAAATTTTAGATCAACAGATGTCAATAACTATTCAGTTTCAATTGTCCACTCTGATGAGGACTATACACAACTCACATATATCCTGGTCTTCAAATAACTGTGAGGATCCAATACTGCTGAGAAATTTAATGTACTCAATAATCTGTTTAGTTATCTAGCTGTTACAACGAACGAATAGGGAATTCTATGTGATCTTTTGATTGTTCAAGATTTTGACAGAAGTTTTCCTTGAGATAACATTTAATGAGGCATAACTTTCGGTTGAAAAATTCTGGTCAACACCTTGAATGAGAGCTAAGTACTGGTAGACAAAACTCTTCCCAAGAGTATTTACGAAAAATTACTGTATCCAGTCGATTACTTATTTAACAATGCAGTTCATAGACCGCTTAACGTTTTGTTCTTTGGATTCTGACAACTAAACAAATGTATCATCAATGGTATTTTCTTTCGTTGAAAAGACCATAGGTTTATCTAGCAAACGGATAACCGAAATTCATATAAACAATCACAAGAAAATCCTTCGCTCTGCAGATTTTCGCCCATCGCAAGACTGCCATTGAAAGCTGTACCCAAAAGGACAACAAGGAAAATACTTCTAAATTCATAGAAATAAGCAATAACATTAGATGTTAGGACTATAATTATATTGCATTATTCCAAGTTCTTTAATTGAAAAGATCACAAAACCAACGACACCTGAAAAAACCCATTTGCTCTACAAACAACGAAAGCATAATAAAGCTGAACACCAGTGATCATGTGCTTGGACTTCCCATAGCCAGCTACACGCAAAAGGAAAGATTTCTAAAACAACTTATACACAACTATAACTGAGACAAACAAAAGGTTTATGACTACTGTCCACGTTTCTGCACTTATGAACTCCGAAGTATATCAGATTACTTCCTAAGGTAGAAGTTAGGTGAGATTTAATCCTTGGTACTCTTAAACAGACGACTCCAAAATACTTAAGCTAAAATATTCCATAAGAATTTCAAATTCATAACTGAAATTTCATTTAGACCTGTATTTGGATGAGGGGAAGTCTGTTTCTTTAGATGTATCATGAATGCTTTTCATTCCGCTGACGAATGCTGAGTGTCCTCAAGCTGTCTTTTGATCCGACAATGCATAAAGGATATATTACCGCTTATGTTCACGTATGTGTATCTATAAATTCACACGTTCTTTTAGAGCTGACAATATTGGATGTTGTAAGGGAATCCTCTAGAAACGCGTAACTGAACGTTTTCCAGTTTAGTTAACTACAGGTAGACGAAGGACAATAACTTAATCCACTCGTGAACAGCTAATGGAGTTAGGTCATTCAGCTTCACGTGACTCACATTTTAAGATAATTTGTAAAGTTAAACTACTGCAAAAAATCTATTTTTCCATCACTTTTGCACATCTAAAGCACTAGCTTTGTATGATGGAAAGTTTTAACAATGTATTCGAAAGTGTTTTCTGAAAGCTATTTATCTATCTATGCATATTTTATGTCAGTATATCCCACTAAACTTTTGCATGTGTCGATTTTAAATACTGTCACTACACATTTTTAACAGTACTTGACCCTCATTTCACCTGTTGAAATCAATTCTCCCTTTCTACTTTGTCAAGTTAAACCAATAATCCCTGTGCAGCTTGTCGATAAAATGTTTATTCGTTGATAGGTTTTTTGCTCACAGTAGGAAAGTCTTATTATCGATAGCCTCAAATAGGTGATCTACATTTACTGCGTATTTTAAGTATTTCACCATCTCAAAGCCTCATCGGTAAAAAAGTAAAAATATGCATAATAAAAGGGAGTTGAATACGATGAACTTTTGAGGGGATTTCCTGAATAATAAATGTCATTATAAAACATTGCACAGGATTGCATCCATCCAGGTTTTCATACTTCATAGCGACATGGAAAGAAGCGCATAAAACACATGATGCTAATGTAGCAAAGCATTATTCAGTTTCTAACATGTCCATTTAAATCAACTAATCTCCCATCACCACAAACTGCATAATGTGTACTCTGACGGGCAAAACTATGTCATTTACTCAGCAATAAATATGACTGCAAAGCTTGGTGGTAAAGGTTCTGTAAAGAAATGTTTCTTCCTAGCTTTTAATGTCACTGTATCATATTCCATAGCTTCATTTATTCCTGTCTCTTCCTTCGAACGCTGATAGCCTTTGTGAGGGAAATAATTGCAAAAATACCGGACCAATAGATATTGCTACACATATCAGCTCAAGCAAACCCATCCACACACACACACGGAACGTTCTCTTATGATAGTAGATGTACTTACGTGTTAGTATCTACTTTAAAATGTTGAATTTCCAATGAGTAAAACTAAACTGTAGGAGAGTTGTTGATAACTAGACTTGTATTAAACGTGGTATTCATTCCAAACAAAACATGCGTAAGTCCTTATTTTACCTGCTTACCAGTTCCATTTCTAGAATGTGTCCATATGACAAATTTTAAAAGTTAATGGTGGGCAGGAAACTTACAATCCAGAGTAGAGACAAAAATAGAGCTTTCTGTTGTTTGGCAGTCGCATAGGCATAAATATTTTCTCCAACAAGTCATCGTTTCCCAACGAAAATCCATTACGCTCCTGGTGAACCATCCATTTGACCGCATTACACTGGTAAGAGCGCAAACATGTGAGTAGATTCTGATGCTGTGGAGAAAATGAAGGAGAATCCCATACGAATCTAGTTTGGGTGTGATAATCTTGGGCGATATTATATAAGGTCTTTAGCAATGTCACAAATTCAAACTGAGTTTCACAGTGATGTCCGTAAACAAGTGACTTACATGATGGAGGTAGGTGTAAATCACCTGTATGTAGTAATGTTAAAAAGTCATATAGCTTTTCATACTGATGGATAGGAATAGGCTTAGTTGAAAAATCAAATGATTCAGAGATGAAATACTCCTTTAAGTGAACATCCATGCATATGTAATTCAATCCCACGCGGTAATGACACTGCAGAAAGTAAGAAGATGCAGCATAAAGTAGCGGTATAACAAGCCCGGCATCTAAAATAATGTATTCCTTCACATCAGCCTCATGTAAGAAAAACAAAAGAGAATTGCTATTGAAGAAGACAGTAATTTTTTGACAAGGATCAACAGTTGCTGACAATAAACCACTAATTGGCAAGGTTATAGTTTGTAGAAGGTAATCAGAAGTATTAGGATCAGGACGAAGAGATATAGCGTGGGGATACAACTGGAGTATTTCTTTTTGTTCATCGGAAAGGACCTTCCGTTTGACTGACTTGATTTTCTTTTCAGAAGCTTTTATATCCAATTTCTGGTGGTAGAAAAAGCTTTTAGATTGTCGGTTATTCGATGACAAAAAGGTAGGAAACCGTTTCATACGCATTTCAAGTAATATAAAAATGGTCCTCGTGTGAAGATAATAGAGTAAGTTGCATAATATGAAGTGCTAATCACGAAATAAAACCCATAAAATTCAACCATGCTTTGAATATGTTGAAATGTTTCTGCTAACCATTTCACAACGATCATACAATGAATAAAATGACTATCATTATATCTTATGCATTGTACTTAGGATTCAGGCTGTGCTTGGCACCTCCGAGTTAAATTGAAGTAGATTGTCGCGAAAACAAATGAACACCACAACAGTTAATCTACACTAAAACACCATTTTGAAATTTATTGACGTTAAAAGTCTCAAGGTCCATATGAAACGAAAACGTAAAACAAATCCCTACAACTTACGCTTCTCTAAATATTTGGTCTCCCTTTTCGAGACAAGTCCCAGTCACTGACCATTCTGAGATAGAATCTAAGTACCACTTACGGCTTCTTGGAGCAACACTTTGGAAACCTTTATTGATGGTCTTTTCTATGAAAATCCCTATTCAAAGTAAGAAGGTCATAGCAATCAGTCGTATGTCGTCGTTTTAACTCCGATATTCTAGAATAAGATTTATCCCTTAAAGATGATGTTTTTATGGTGGAAAATTGTAAACTTCCCAGTTGATGTCGTTGGGCAATAACCTAGCACTGTCTGCTCCAATTTTACTCTAACATGTGCATCCTCCCCACCACGTGAACATAAAATTATATCTGTGGCCATTCTGTTCCATATTTGTGGGACTACTTTGTCACTTTCCATTGTGTGCGTGGATATAAAGTGGAATCCAGAGGATTGAGCTTGCGAGCTCGTCCCTAAGATGATTGGCTATTCATTTTCGTAGTTGCAAATATGAAGGCTGTCAATATAGGTTTCATTTCCATTGCAACTAATCGGGGCGAGCTCCTAAACTTAGTTACGGTGTAAAAAAGTTTCATCGTTTTAGCGTGCTGTACTATGAACCTTGTGACTGTGGTTATAAACCTACCTTTCTGTCTCTGTTTCATCAAGAACTACCTTTACTGCATTAATGTTCGTGTTTTTCCGAAGGATCGACATCATCGGACATCATCGGTCACGTTGGCTCTATTGTAGTCTGAAACACTCGGGCGGATATCATGCATTTTTGCCGTTCCTAGCAACACTCCTCGCGCTGCAATCAACTTCATCATGTCAGGCATCGCAAACTGTTGTTTTGTGCCTCGGCAAAAGTCCCTCTGCAACTTCAGCAGTGATAAGGCTTACCAAGTGATCTACCTTGGTTAGTGTTTCCATATCACCTACATCGATGTTCGTTAGGTGTCAAAGCGTTCGGCGGTAGGAGGTCGCTAATCTGATATTTAATCACATCCGACCGGTATGATACTTTGGATGTACTCATTATATTTGTTGTCCTTCGGTTTGCACATTTTGCACCGGGTTCCTCCGAAGATGACTTCAGAACGATACTGACGTCAGGCCTGGTAACCGGAGCTTGCCTGGTCCAACGTAAGGTACGGCGCTTTCATCATGTTCGATATACGCTACAACACTTGAGGCCGTGTTTTTATCAAATGCTGAGGCTGCAGAGTTATTTTCAGAAAACTGTTTGAAAATTAAGTTAGTTTTGTGAAATTAGTTTGTGAAATCATGTGAAAATGTGTCTCAGTTTCAAACTCACTGAGTAGATTAATGTCATGTGTAAGGCGGTCAGACAACGTTAGGGTTCTTTACAGCTTCCAGTAAGGTACAATCGCTGAAGGCCTATCAGCACCTCAGGTAGACTTGAATAGTCTGCTTGACTGGAGTGAGAAGTGGCGAATTTCATTCAACCGCAAAAGATGTTGGATTTCAAACTTCGGAAAAAGTTACCCAGCATCACCTTGCGTTTAGGAGATTATGAAATTCATGCACTCAATAGGGTATGTGATTTGGTCGTTCAACATTATGGTAATCTAACCTTCGACAGACATGCCTCGGTTATCGTCCGAAAAAATGGAAGATTATCGGGCTTTCTTTTGAAGGGTTCCAAGCCTGCTCTTTCCGAGGGTTGTGTTGGGCCGACATTAGGATATAGCGCATTCTTTTTTTAGCATGCGCAATACCGACGGGTTGTTCCTCGAACACGCACAATAAAGTTCACCGAACGATTGTCAGGTAGTGAACGAAGTGTAGACCATACAGACATGCATTATTCTATCTATTGAACCTCTATGAAAACGTCGTCCTAGAAATACCTCAGTTCTCTTGAGCAAAATTTTGCATGGACTGTCAAACTGTTCCTCCCACCCGCTTGATAATGTGCAGCGCCATATGGACACAACAGTCATGCATATATGCTAGTGATAGACAGATACGATAAAGACTGCGGGTACCTTACAGACGAAATTGAAGAAGCGCCCCACAATTTGGAAACCAGTCAGAATGCTGTCTTGTGACCGTTGTAAGGTCATTCTTCGCCATCTTAGCATGCATGTTGGACGATTGGTTTCGTGCTAGCGAGTTTTTCGCTGATTTATTAACGTCGCAGACGTCGTTGTCGTTCCTATGTTATGAATTTCACTTAATTATGTCCCGTTTACGACACTGTCCTCGTTAACTGTTCTTATTGTCTGCCATGTTTGAGGACACAGGGCAGTTACAAAAGGAGCGTTTTCTACATATTTATTTGTTGAATTCTATTTCTTTATGTTATATTAATGGGTTAATGTAAATTTGTCGGCTTTATGTTATTCTTGTTGTGTTAGAAGTCGGTTAACCGTTAAAAAACCGTAATGCTGCCTATGATGCCTCTGATCCCCGAATTACTTCAACGTTTACAGTCTTTATCTGGTTGTTTAGGAAGTTGGTGCAAGCGTTAACACGTTCCGTTGCTGTTTATTAAAACCTCAGCTGAAATGGTACGGCTAGTGCCGCCAAACTCAACTGAAAACATCAGACGATCCTCCTATCTGTGAATGAACAATAAAATATCGCTTTCAAGCTTATACGGGGTGTTAAAGTTTAGATAATAATAATCCTTTTTCTCATATAAGGGATTTAACGTGAAAGATACCAGTTTACAAGAACCGTGGAATTGATGATTCTTGAAAGTTTACAAACCAGTATTTAGTATCAAATAGCTCACATATCAAGACTTTGGTGTGCAGAATCTTGTCAGAACTTACCGAAAATTATGGAGTTCCATCTCTCACCACGCAGATAGGTTCCATTATTAGGAACAGAAGCGCACAATGTTCGAATTTTGCGCTATAATCAACCGACGCTGTTAGTCCGTTTACGTCCGGCACTTGGCAATATAATGGTCTATTCATCAGAAAGTTCCTCAGTTCCTGGCTTTACTAACTGCAAAGGACCTATGTATACGACCTGCAGTATCGGTAAAGCATTCGTAGTCATACCCAACGTGAGTGTCTAACCTAGTGCATTTCCATGTCATCATGTTACGCGTAAGGGCGACATGGATTAATTTCGCTGGGTATACTTGCTGTAGTGAATGGAAATAGACGTCGAAACTGTTGATGGTCCAAATGGCGGTAGTTCTAAATAGACATCGGGCAACTTCCACATTAGCGTGGGCATCATCATTCTAGAATTATATCTGATGCATAGTAGCTTCCAACTGGGGGATCACTTGATACGGAGCACTGGAAAACATGTAGAATGGGGCCACAGCAAGTAAGCCGTGCTGCTAGCCAATATGTATATTGGTCTGTAGTTTGATCATTTGTTCAAAATATTCGTGCTGCTATAGCTGTTATAGAAATTCAGACGGCCCGTCGCTTGAAGAGTAGTGACCATTGAGTGAGCTAATCGGAAGCATGTCCAGAAATGACGAAAGAGTGGGGGCGATGCAGAAACCATTAGCATCAAACAGCAGGTATTATTTCCAAAACGCAGTTATTTTCAAGGTGAAATTCAGCATCAAATGTCGTCATCGAGCTGTCGCAGCGAAATAAAATAAGAAGAAGAATCATGGACAGGTCTGGAAAACGAAGCGACCACAACATCTAATCGCAGAGGAGAGAAGTACCTATTCATTTAGACGTATTGGAAATTCGGGTGCATTTTCATACATGCATAACAAGTCCATGGCATAGATTTTCCATTAAAGCGTGCATAAAATTTTCCATATATCTGGGGTACCTTCGTGGCTTCGAGGAGAAAACAGTGAACGGTGAGTGAATCAACCTACAAAGGGGAACCAGTACTCACATCATTGTAGGCAATCGTCAACCCATAAGTGAAGGAGGAACTCGAGGTCTATAGTAGCTTTGTTATGTACACTTAGAGGTAAGAGTATCATGAGCCCGGGATGCATAGATGGTGGTTAATTGAGCGATAGACATGTCATCTATTAGCAGCCTATCATGTGAAGGGCGTAGAAGTGTCAGCGAGCTCGCCGTACGAGATTTTTCTGGAAGCCTGTTCCAAATGTGTGAGAACTACTGAGGAAGAAATTATCTCACAACCTCGTCGTACAACGCTCAGTTTCAACCAATAATTTATGGTCGCGCTTATCGTATGTAGACGTCATAATTATCTTGATTTGCGGACCATGAAAGTGCAGGTGTCGATGACGCGACTTATAATGAAATATGAGGCTCAGTTAGAGTCTCCTCTTCCAGGGCAGTCCTAACTCGAGCACGTTACGTCTGGGTATGTGGTCTACATTTGAGTCAGCTTCTAGTGTTCTGGAGGTGGAGCAACGTTGTGCCCCTTCAATTTTCAGTTTATCGCTTCTGCGAAGGCCACTGAGAATAAACGGACAATATTCTAGAAGTGGGCGAATGCACACTTTATAGAATGGAACCTGTGATCCAGTACTGTAGAAGTTACGAATGATACATCCCATGAGTTTGCGTGACTTGGATCTGATATATGCTGTTTCTTCCGAGAATGTCAAGTCTCTGGAATACCTGATGCCAAGATCTAGCGCATAAGCTAGTCTACGTGGCTGTTTTCCACACATCTCGAGGGTCAGGTCACGGTTGTCGTTGCTCATGGTAAGCCAACCGCATTTGTCATTATGGAATTCAAGGTGGGACTCTGAACACCATGATACAGGTTTACTTAGTTCCTGTCGGGCAGTGTCCAGGGTATTACGTAGTTCATGAGTGCCTCTGATTACCTGTTAACGGAAAATGCAATGGCAGTCTCAGCATGGTTTCATAAAGGATAGGGCCTGCGCTACTTACCACGTTGATCACTTCATTTTCACCACTAGTGAGCTTGAAGTACGCAAAGTCGTCATCCTTCTATATTTTGATACCTCAAAAGCATTTGATAAGGCGTCGCATAAAATACCCCTTGATAACCTATAAGCAATAAGTAT